ATATAATTTAATATTATTCTATATGTATTATTGCAAAATAATTTATATTATATATAATTAATATTTAAATGTGTATTTTTATAATCATTTATTTTAAAATATTCAATTTATTTTTTGTATTCAATTCTTATGATTCAAGTTAACAATCGTTATAGGATATCATCAGGCTAGAATCCCTTTAAATTAGGCAAGCAATTATCTATTTGAAGATTCCTTTTAAAATTTTGAATAATCCTTTTTTAGTCATATAAATAATGATTACAATCATTCTTTACCAGCAAAGTATGCTAATATTAAGGAGTTTAACATTTCACCTTTGCTCTAATTCAAACCAGAATAATTAGATGCAAAACTTTACAGAGTATTTCTCATTCTTCAATATCACTAGACATTATTATATACTTGAATTCTAGTTATTGATTAATTAATTCCTATTCTGAATAACAAAATTAAATTGCACGAACCGCTTAGTTGATGTTATTCTTTAACTCAACTTAATTATTCGAAAGATGACCTTTTCTTCAAATTGAAAGAATCTTTTTTATGTACTAATGATGAGATCATCCAATTAATATTTATCAGTAATGTTTGTAATAGGCTAGGAGGTGGGTACTTTTATGTGTTGAATAGAAAGACTTTAATAAAAAAGTGTGAGTGAATAATTTTAATACATCATTATAATATATTATAATACCCCAGAACTCATTCTTAATTATATTTCTATTTATTTTTTAATTCTTTTTATTTCAATTTTTCATTAGCTTCTCTATAAAATTTGATATCATCATCAGTAAATTCGTATTTCTATTCTTAAAGTAGTTTTTTATTTTCTGCTATTTTCTTTTCTTTTTCCTTCTCTAAAAATAATTTTGCTTATTCTTCTTCATATTGTAAATTCTTCCTTCTAAACCAATAAAAAATTATAAAAACAACAAGAGTGAATACTATTTTCTCAATTTGTACATAAGCAAGATAATCTTTTTCAAAAGGAGTAGTTTTGAATTCACCTGAATTAAATTATTCTTTGATCTCTTCTTCACTTTGGCCTTATGCTTTGAATGTCATAGGATGCTTTTAAAATATTGTGATTGCTAGCATAACTGTGAATATTGCTAACTTAGGCCATATTTCTTTAAAGATCTGAGTTATTGATTTTGTCATTCTATAATATTTAATATTATTTTGATTAAAATAATTAATCATCACATTTCATGATCAGATTCAGAACTCTGACTTAAATTTAACACATTTTCATAAGGAACAAGTTTCTTATATATTTTATCCATATCATAAGAGTTATCTAATATTTTTGTATAAGCCTCCTCTCCCTCATTCTGAAATATTTGTTATTTTCTTAATTTGATAACATTTAGTAACTTAATAATAATAAATTATACTTATTGATCATTTTTACATGCAAATTTAGTAAATAAAGAATCATAGGATGAATAACATTTAACTTTCAAATCTCTTATTTTTCTTAGAAAATCTGCTTAAACTTAGATGTTATTTTCTTACTTTTCAACATTTTCTAATTATCTTAATAATAAAATTACAGTTATCAATGGCTTCAATATTAGATAAACTTTAAGATTTGTTCATTTAATATGCATTTTAAAATGTTTATAATTCTTCTTCTAATTTAACTTTTTTTTATTTTGCAGCTTCTAAATTTTATTGTTATTCTGATAACTATATTTCTAATTCGCTTTTTTTTTCAATATTTGCCATAAAATCAAGAAAATTATTTGAATTACTGTAATTTTATTATTTTACATCAAATATTCCTTTAATTTATGCATAATTTTTCTCAAATTGCTCTAGTTTTTCATGAATGGTCTTAGTGTTTTTCTCTTATTATTGTTTCAATTTCTTATTTTATTATGCATCATTCTATTTAGCTTATTGTCGTCTTAAATTTTAAACTGATTCTAATGCAGAATCCTAAATGTAAACATCAGCTAATAGATTATATTCATATTAATACCTGCTTAAAAAAGATGATCTAAATTTTTTTTTTCTAGTAAGGAATTTCTAATTTAATTTATTAAGTTTCCTTAATGTTTTTTTTTCTAATTATAAGTCATTAAAAAGTCATCTATAGTTCTATATAAAGTTTTGATCTGTTATTTATTTTTTGAAATCTCTACTTCTTCAAATCGAATTAATTTCTTAAAATTATTAATCAACTATTACAAATGCTTAAAATAAATTGATGAATAATTACCCTAATATATTCTTCATTCTATTATTTATTATCCTTGCATATTTTCAAAATTGTTATAACTCTAACTTTTTAATTACTACTAGATTTATAAGACTCTTCAGCCTCTTTTAATTTTTTTTCAAGTTCAATCTTTGTTTCCTTTAACTCTTCCAAATTAGATAATTCTTTCTTAATGTAACCTTTATTAAAATCAATTATTTTTTATTATTTAAGTATTTTCGCTAATTTCAAATTCTCATAGTTCAAAGTATCTAATTTCTTTCTCATTTGTTTAGCTTGCTATTCTAAAAGATGTAATTATTTTTAAGAATGTTTTTGGATATCTGTTTTGAGGATAGGGAATATTTCAGTTTATTAATATGCATTCAACGAGAGAGAAGAGGATTAAAAAGATTTTAATCTACCTTTTTGTGATTTAAATTTGTCCAATATTTTTACTGTATTCTATCCATCATTTGATCTATTTTCTATTGTAATTTTAATCTATTTAGATTCTTAATTTAGATTATCTAAGTCAGTAAAATCTTATGTGATAAACATTGTTCGTTCATATTTTTCTTATGACATATTTATAGATGAATTATGAATACTATCTATTCTTGGGAGAATAGCTTTGCTTCTATCAAATCTACTAGCCTAAGTATTATCAAATGTATATTCAATCTTGACTGGCTAAGGCTGATTTAAAATACTAGCTTATGGTATTAAGATTAGGGATTATTATTATTCTTCTGGTTCAGTCTCATACATCAATTTTTTTTTTAATTTAGCTTCAATAGCAATTTTTAATGCGGCTAGATATTAAAATATTTGAATTACAATTTGTATATGCATGCTCTTCTTCAACACTCATATAATCAGTTGCAGAAGAGAAACAGTGCTTGATAGTTTTAGAATAATCACATTTTTTACTAATACTCAAACATGCCCAAGGGAATTAGATCCAAATCCATCTTTTATAATAATAGTCTGATGAAACTCTATCTCCAGTAATTTCTTCTTCTCCAGATAAATATTCTTTTTTATTTGATAACAATTTTTGTAATATCTTTTACATTTAATCCTTACATTCTTCAACATCCAAAGTTTATATTGTTTCTAATTCATCAGGTTCTGTTTCAGTAGATTTAATCATTTATGATAAATAATGATTTCTGACTTCATATCTATTTTATTGTATTTCAACGTTTTGAGACTCCATTTTAGTAAGAGCAGGTGTTTTAATTGCTTTGGCAACTCTTTTTAAATGTTTGACAGGATCAAATTATTTTAACTCTGGATCTTTGTTAAAGTACAAATCTAACTTCAAAATTTCTTATAATAATCCTATATCATATAAATCTTACAAGACTCCTATAATAGGAGGATGTCTAAAAACAGGAGTGTTTTTAGTTTCAAAATCTCCAAATTCTTTTAGAAATCTTGATACTTAAATAATAATTCTAAAGAGATCTTCTGAACTTGGATGATAATGTATTTGAAAACCTTCTACTGCTTTATTATACTCAAGTACTGGATCAAATCCATTTTCCTCTAGTTTTTACCAATATCTACAAAGATCATATTTATTATTGGGATTAAATAATAGTAAGAAGTTTTCAATAATACTAATGATTTCTTTTAATTTAAAATAGTTTTTAGCTGAAAATAAATGGAAGGTTTCTTCTTCTAATTTTCTAATTGAATTATTAGTGTATTTATCAATAGTTTCTGCAATTTTGTCATGTAATTACAATGTTTTATCATTATGATAACAATTAATAACACATTTTTTGAATATTTCATTATGTATAATCCATAATTCACGATGTTTCATAAGAAATATCTTAAAGAAAAGCAAGAATAATTTCCATTATTTATCATCAAATTCACATACAGATTGAATTTCTTTGTAAGTCAATCCTTTTTATGTAATTGCAAGTACAGTAATGAGTTAAATAAACTTTGGATCTTATTTTAATTCAGGAGTTTTAGGAGTAAAAATAAAGCTTTCACTAAAGAATTTTAATTAAAATGTAAATAATTCTTCAACAGTTCTGAAATGTTTAATCTATTATAAATTTAATTCTTTTAAAATGTTTTCAACAGTATTAATATCAATATCTTTAAGTTCAACAAGACCATCTGTTGGATAAGGTAAAAATACAGTCATAAAACTTCTAACAAAGAGTGGCTAATTTCTCACTTTATAATTTAATTAAATAAATAAATCCTGAATTGCTTATACTCTCTAGTCAGACTAAGGAGTTAAAAATAAAGAATACTAGAAATGAGGGTTTTCCAAAATGACCATTAACCATTGTTTTGATTACTTTAGAATCACAAGTAATTGGAATCACATGACAAGAAGGTTTAAGTATTCTCATAGAATTAGAATTTTTTTCAGCAGTTACAATAACTTTAATGTTTTTTGGGAAATATTTTGGTAACCAAAAGGAAACATTAGCTTCTCTATGAACATCTAACATATCTCTAAAATTATCAATTCCTTCAAATATCAATATCACCTAATATAATTTAGATAATAAATACTTTATCATATATAACTTTAGCTCCATTTAAGAATTGTTATTCTAATTCTCTACTACATATTTCTAGCCAATAATGAAAGTATCTACGAAGCTTCTCTTCCACTAATTCTACTTTCTATTTGATATTTAAAGTTTCTCTTAATTTAATTAATATTCGGTAAATTGCAAAAAAGTAATTACTATTCTTGCCTGATTGGGTAGCAAAATGAGGTATGATATAATCTTAATAACGCTATGATAATTTGAATTGATACTCCTTTTTTATTTTTAGCATGGTATTCCATCCATTTTACTAAAAGTGTCTTTTTTCCAATTCCATCATCTGCTTCTAATACTAATGGAGTGTTTAAATGCAAGGATTTCTCTTCATCTAGCCAATCTTCAATCTCCAAAAAATAACGATCCAAACCAGATGCAGTTCTAAAATAAATTATATAAGTTACTAATTTTTGTAATATTCAACTACTACATCAGATGAACTTAAATATTATAGATATTTACTCTATGTAATTCATATTCTCATTCCTCATTGATTCTATTGTTGTTTTCTTATCTTTTGGAGATGTTGGTCTATTTGAATATGCGTCGTCCATTTTATATTTAAATTAATGATTGAAGAAAGTTTTCTTCAAAATGAAAATGAAGACTTTGGAGAATAACTCCTTGAGGATTATACAATTTTATAAAAATTAGGAACAGGTGCCTTCAGCAAAGTCTATAAGGTCTTATATCAAGATTAGATCTACGCTTTGAAAGTATAGTTCAAATTGTTATAGGTTGTTGATAAATAATCGGCTACTGGAAATAATATTGTTGAGAAGCTCAATCAAGAAGCCTCTATACTTAGCACTTTGGAGCATCCAAATATCGTTTAATACTATAAGACAATAGAATCAAAGAGAAAACTTTATTTTCTTATCGAATATATTGAAGGCAAATCACTTTAAGAGTATATTGATTAATCATTGACTGACTCTGAAATAAGATAAATTATATAATAAATCATATATGCAGTAGCATATATTCATAAAAAAGGTATAATTCATAGAGATCTAAAACCTGGTATGAACATAAATATATATAGATAACATTTTGATTGATAAAGAATGGAGTGTAAAAATCATCGATTTTGGTTTGAGTTTCCAAACAATAAAATCTACTACTCATGAAACATGTGGCACATTAATTTATATGGCACCAGAAGCATTAATGAAAAAGGAGTACTTCAAATCAGTGGATATGTGGAGTCTAGGAATAATATAATTTATGATGTTTGCGAATTGTCATCCATTTTGCACAGATGATACAAGAGAGACCTTTTTAAAAAAAATGAAGAATCCTTAATTAGCATGCTATCCTGAAAATATGAGCAAGTTCAAAATTCCCATAATCATAGAATAGAGCGGCCATATCATTTTTTGAAAAAACTGCTGCATGGGAACCTGAGGCTAGACTTACAGCTGAATAAGCTCTAATTCATCCATGGATTAGCGGTGTAAATAGTCAAATGCCAATGTCATCAAAAGATATAATTCAAACATTTAAATGTTAAAATGAATTTCATCAAGTATTTTAATGTATAGAATATAAATTAAGATGATAAAAATGTTGATGATCCTTAGATTAATATAGAAAGTGAGTTAAAAACGTGATTCGTTATAAACACAATAGTTTAGAGCTCACTCTTAATTTTAAAATAACTTAAAACCTTTGATTATTAATTCAAGAAATCCAAGTTCATAATAAAAATTGAAAACTGAATCTTAATAATTCCAACCACCATTATCTGCCCATAGAACTACATTATCAAGAATATAAAATAATGCTTCATTTCTTAGTTGTTAAGATGTATTAATACCTTATAATTAGTAATCAAGAGAGGATGTGAGATTGAAATAAATAAAGAATAAGCAGCAATAATTAAAATTACCTCCAATAAATACTAAATCTGCGAATAATTCCCCTTATAATAGTAAATCTCAGTAAATGTTTACATTCAGTCCATATAAGAAAGTACAACCAATTGGAGAGCTTAAGAAGTCATAATTTAAATTATGATATATAATATTTTATATGTCTTTTTTAAAGAAATTATTCTCAAAGCCATCAAAAGAAAAAGAAAATTAACAGATTCATCATAATATCAATTAAATTTATAATACTTAACCATTCCAAAGGAAATCAAATCCAATATATAATTATAATGGTATATATCGAATTGAATAATTTGAAATCATTCTTGAATAATAAATTATAGATCTTGAACAATTGAAACAATTAACTTGGAGAGGAGCTCCATAAGGTAATTTATAATATTATAAAAGTTTATAGAGCTAAAGTATGGAAACTAATATTGAAATATATTCCACCTAATCATATGAGTTAAACTAGTGTAATTTAGAAAAAAAGACAAGACTATATTTAATACATAAAAAACTATTATGAACAAATTCATGAAAGAGACGAAAATGAAGAAAGGATAAAAACAATGATATCAAATGTTGTATTAAGAACCTAACCAGATTATCAACTGTTTAGAGATCCTAAAATCTAGAAACTATTGAAAAGATTACTATTTATATGGAGTTAAAGACATCCAATGAGTAGGTACTTCATTTATTAAAGTAGTTATGTCTAAGGAATAAATGATATTGCATCTCCATTAATTGCTGTGTTTCTTAATGAATATGTTAGAGTTGATTTCAATAAATTTGATGTACCTCCTGATTTTCATAAACTTCCAGATGATATATTTCTTGATATGGAAGCTGATATTTATTGGTGTCTCTGCAAAATTATTGAAAATATTCAAGATTATTTTATCCATAATTAATCTGGTGTATCTTTGGCATGTGAAAAAATTAACAATATTCTAAGTTTCGTATATTATTTAACTTATATAGATTGATCCAACAATTTTAGATTACTTTCAATAATAATAAATAGATTTTAATCATTTTGCCTTTAGATGGGTTATATGTCTACTAGTTCGTGAATTCCCTCTTTATTTAGCAATCAGAATATTGGATACTTATCTATCAGAAGGTGATAATATGGCCAATCTTCATATATATACAGTTTCAAATTTAATACTTAAATGTGGACTTGAGGTATTATTATTTACTTAGTAATATAGATGAAAAATAAAAACATGGGTGAAGCTGTAATCTTTTTATAGAATCTTCCTACTAAAGATTGGACAGAATTAGATATTGAAATGCTCTTATAAGAAGCATATGTTTTTAAGGAATATATGACTAACAAACAAAGTTTGAATTAATCAGTGATTTCCACTTAATCAAATCGAATTTCCAATAAATGAAGATAAATTCTCTTTATTAATTTTAATTAACGAAATTAAATCTATGCAACCATTATATTGCTAATCTCCTAAATAACCTATAAAGAAAGATTCTTGTTTACATCAATTCTAAAAATTACTCTCTGAATCCCTCAATCGGAAATAAGCTAAATAAAATAAAGAAAATAATAGGAGTAGTTTTCAAATGAGAAGCTATAGTAAATTACTATCACCTCCTCATCGTCCTATTTCCAATAACAATTAACTAAATTAAGACCTCAAAAAAACACTTAATAGAGTCAAAAATATGTTAGATAAGGTCTACTCAGAAAATTTGGCTTTACAAACTGAAAAAAGAGAATTAATACAATTACTACAACAGAAAAACTAATTGATTGAAAAATTAGAATAAAAAAAATCAATAAGTCAACATTTCTGAATTATGCAATTACATTTGTACTATGAATATATATATTAATATATATAATGAATAAATCAAAAACTAAATCACCTCCTCCTGGAATATAGTAATAAAGTTTATCAGCCGAACCTAAAGAAACCAAGAAACTTAGAACAACTTTAGATTATTCATTCAAAGAAATTAAGAAACTTGAAGGTATATATATATTGTAACTATTATCTAAGAATTAAAAAATAAAGAAGTTAAGCCTAGAGAAGGTGAGTAATGGATATTTAAAGAATAGAAGAAGTAAGAAAACTAAGAAGTAAAAAATGATACTCCGAAAGAATAAGTACTCAAATAATAATAATCTTTGCCTGAAGAAACAGAGCCTATTTAACCATAACAATAATAACCTTAAAAATAATAAGATAATAAAAAAGGTAATGCTCCATAACCACCTCCTGCTTAATTAATTCCATAAACAAATGTTGCAACATAATTAATTACATTATAAAATATACCATTAAATGGAAAAATAGTTGGTGGCAAATTACAAGAAAATAAAAATCAAAGTCAATAATCTAAATTCAAACCAGAATTATGTTGTTAATCATTAATTTTATGTTAAAATAAATTAACAAGTCTTAGTGGATTTTATTAGATTATGCAAACTGTTATGCCTAATGTTGAATTACTTAGATGGATTGATTTATCATATAATCAATTGACAACTTTAGATTATAATTTTAAGGAATTACCTCATTTACAATCTTTATATTTGAATTTCAATTAGATAAAGGAGATCAATGAATTAAAATAAGTATTATATATTTCTTATAAATAAAGTTGTCACATTTATAAGAGCTTAAATCTCTAAAAATATATGGAAATCCAATTGAATAGATAATCAATTTTAGACTATACATAATTGATGTGCTTCCATAATTAAAAAGGATAGATTCTGTACTAATAAGTAAAAAAGTATTTATTTAATATATATATTTGTTTATAGGAAAGAGATAATTCATCTATGATTGTAAAAGTGTTTGATTTTAAACCTTAAATGAAAGCTTAAGCAGATAAAGAGAAATTGTTATTACAATAAACTTAGATTACATAATAAAAGTCGAAGTCTTAACCAAAAAAGAAAAAGTGATAATTTAATATATTCTAATAAATTGATATTTATATAAGGGAAAAAAGTAATCAATAATTTTTATTAAGATTTTTTCTTTTTAATTGTTATTCCATTTTAAAATTATCCTATTTAACAACTTTAATCTATATAAATATAATAATAAAATTTTACTCTTGATTTAATTTCCTATAAATCTTAATCAGTATATTCTGAATCATTTATAACCTATTATAATCTTTCATTTTCTTCAATCAATAATTAAATTTTCTCATTTAAATCAGCATATAAATTATCTGCCATTTTCTATTCATAAACTTATTCAATTTATTTATAAGTTAATTTTAAATGTTCTTCATCCCTTTTTAATTATTATTATTATTTATTTAGATTCTCAATTTCATTCTTTAATCTTGCAATATCAGAAATGATTTGTAGATTAGAATTTGAAGATAATTATTGATTCAATCTATCATTTTCAGTAATTAAATTCTAAACCTTATTTTCTAATTCATTAATTAAATCTTTAATTTAAGAATCATCATTTTAATCTAATTTATTTTATAATTCATCACATTTCAATTAATATTATTATTATTCTGATTTAATACTCTAAAGTTATTATGATGTTTGTTTACGAATTTATTAAGATTTTTCTAAATTATCCTTCATTCTTGTAATATCGGTTTATTCTATTAGAGATTAATTTTCAAATTATAATTTATCATTTAACTATTTTAATAAATTAATTTTTTATTCTAATTCTTAAATAAATTATGAAGATTATCCTCTTTATACTTCACTTTCCATTTATTAAATAGTTTATTACAATAAATTATTAGAATCTTGTAATTATTTAAATTCATTTAATAAATTTGGATTATTATAATTTATTGGTTTAAGTTATGATTATGATCCTTTATTATTATTATAATAAATTGGAGTATTAATTAAATTATAAGGTTGAGGTGATTGTACAATAGTTGGTTATTGGATTTATTTAGGAGATTAAAAAATGACTGAATTATCTCGATTTTAAGCAGGACTCATACATACAAATTATTTGGTTGGATTAACGAATTAAGATAATTATGTTTCATTGATTGAATCGTTTTTTTTATCATTTTTACATCCAACTTTAAATTAGATTGAGTAATCATGTGATTAGTTAGGATTTAAATTAGATTTAGAATTACTATATTATAATGACTATATAATAAATAAATTAATTACAGGAGGTTTATCTTAATGACTTGAATTAGATGCTCTTTTAAGATATTAATTGTAATATGGATTTGTTGCAATGGAAGTAGTTTTATTGATAGTATCAATATCAGTACTTGCTTTGTGATGAAATTTATTAGATGGCATTTATGCATTTTATGTATTTTCAATACTTGAAAAAGGTGATCTTGATTGATATTGATTGTATTTTAAAGATTATTATTATGGTTCTAATATATTAAGGATTAAATTTACATGAAGGATTCCTTCTTCCAACTTAATATTATTACATGCTAACAGCCAAAATTTTAATTATTATTATTTATGAAATTAAGAAAATTAGGATTATCAATATTATTATGTAGTGCTGGATCATATAGTCTTTATTGTAATGAGAAGACTAAATCATATATTTGGGGTAATGGAGTATATTAGGCACTTCCTGGATAAGGTTTAAGTTTCAATAATTTCATACCAAAATAATTGATTGATTTTGATGATAAGAATTTATAGAAATTATTCTTATCTGAATAATTTGAAAGTGGTATAACAGGAAATGGAGATGGATATATATGGACTGCTCACAAATTAAGTAGTTAAGAGGATAAAAATATAAATGATGGAAAAAGATAAAATATTATTAAAATCAATGTACCTAAAGGTAAGATTAAATAAATTAAATATACTAAATAATTTGTATGGGCATTGACTAATAATGGAGATGTCTTTTAATATTAGGTTAAGGATGGTTAATTTATTAATACTCCAAAAAAAATCAATAGTTTATAAAATATCAATTAAATAGAATGTGGAGAAGATCATTTTGTGGCTCTTACTAATGATGGTTCCATTTTAACTATGGGTGATGATACTTATGGACAATGTGGATTAGGATCAAATAATAGAAGCACAGCTCCACCATTTTATGAATAAAGAATAAGAAATCCAACCAAAATAGAAAATTTACCTAAAATAAATAAAATTATATGTGGATCTAATCATACATTATGCATAAGTGCAGAAGGATCAGTTTATGGATGGGGATCTAATTCATAAATGCAATTATCCCATTCAGAAGAGTTCTCAAGAGTAGGAGAACCATTAATAGCTGTTTACAATCCATTAAGAATTTCTGCTTTAATGGATAGTAATAATTAAGTTTTAGATTTGGCAGCTGGAAATGAATTTAGTGTATTTGTAACAAAAAACAAATAAAATTCAGAAACTGAAGTATTTGCTTGTGGTCATAATATAAGAGGACAATTAGGTTGTGGATTTGTTAGACATATAAGTGATATTGTTAAATTAGAAGGATTATCAAATTTTAAAATAAATATCAATGGTAAATAGGAAAATGTAGAAGTAAAATAGATTGAATGTGGTTATAATCATTGTATGGCATTAACAAATGTAGGTGCTATTTTAGAATGGGGGGATAATGAATATGGATAATTAGGAAATAAAAAAAGGTATCATATTTAATATTTAATTATAGATCATTCACAGATAAACCTATAGTAGTATCATAATTTGTGTAAAATAGGGTTGCAACAATATCATGTGGTAGTAATAGCAGTGGAGTAATTATTTAGTAATGATAGAGTATATTAAAACAATTCATTAATTCTAAATAAATATAATTATAAAAGTGATATCATCAACAACTGAATCATCATCTATTGTCCACATTCTATATGCAACTCTCATTAATTCTTCACTAGCCCCTTCAATATTATTTTATTAGTAATATTTTCCAATAATATCAACAACAATTTAATTATCTAAGAATTCCCATATCCCATCTGAGGCAATAATAATAAATTTATCATTCAATCCTAATTAATATTCAATAATATCTGGAACACTGCTAACACCAATAGATTAGGCTACTTAATCTCCTAAACTTCTACTCATAGCTAAACCTGGATATTATGTTCCATTTACCCAAACTCTCATAGGTCCTATGGGATTCCCTGGAATATATATAAATACTATACCATTTTAATCATAGAATGTATCTACCTTACCTCCTGATTAGATTACTCGATATTACTCTTTTTTAATAGTTAATTTATGATCAATTGATAATTAATAAGGTTTAAATTTTTAACCATATCCATTTAATTTACCAATGACTGTTCTACTATCGCCAACATTAAATGAATATATTTTACCATTTTCTTACAAAAGTATTCCATTTAATGTAGAACCACTAAAGTTAGTATCAAATGATTATTAGTTTACATTAATAGAAGTATTTTAAATAGATTTTTGAAGTATTTATTTAATTTAATGAGATTATATTTAAACTTTATCTCTTCGAATTGTATTTGGTAAATTAGTTTAAATGAAATTGGAAACGAACTGTCCATTTTGTCCATGTCCATCACAAACAAAAAATAAATGGAAATTTTCAAAGAAATTTGTTTAACAATAAAAAATGTCTTAATTTACTTTGGTTGGATTATTAGCTATTTAACCTTATCTAGTTTTATGAGTATATTTTAGATTAAACTAAAAAGTTTCTTGAAATTCAAGACTATATAATGAAGCTGTTGATCTATTTTTATTATAGGTTTCTTCAATTTTTAAGATATTATTCTGACTTTGAACTCTTCTCTCAGGAACTGAAGAATCTGGATTAACCTTTTGTGTTTAAGTGAGATATTTACTTACATAGTTATGCCACATTTATTTTCTATTTCTAATAGGTACTCTATTCAGTTCTTTGGATTTGTTTAGTTTAAATATTGAGTCTAAAAAAGAGTTGTATTTATTATTTGTATGGTTTAATTATTATCTATTTTATTATGAATAATTATTAACAATTAATCCTTTATATATGTATAATATTTACTATTTTTTGTATTTTATGATAGTTTCTCACTATAATCTCTCTATCCTAATCCAGTTCTATTGTTTATAAATGATTTTGCTTTATTTTACTTATCAACTATTAATATAATTATTCAATACTTTTGTTATCCCTATTTTATTACTAATAATTGCCTTCTGTTTTGAAAATTTTAGGGCTTTTTAATCGCTTTGATGTTGATTTAATATTATCAAAAATCCTTTAATTCATATTATTTATAATAAATAAATGGATGAAAGTGGAATAATAGGATAGATGATACTCGAAAGTAGTGGTAGAATTAAAAAGGTAATAAATTGAATCAATATTAAGAGTAGTGGTACTTTAGATAATCCTAAATTAATCCCATTTATAACAACTATTGTTTCATCGACTGCTAAGATTTTAGATAAATAATCGCTCAATAGAGTAACATGTAAATTCAAAATATATAATAGTAAGTTATTAAGAATCAGATATTATAATTTACATCGATTAAACAGACATAGTTGTTTTAGAAAGAAAAAAATGATGCAAATATATATTAAAATAATATGTATACATACTTTAATTTTTATATTTTATTATTCTTTTAAATATGAATATCTATTTATTTAGATTAATAATTTTGGAAATAGAAATGATTTAATCATAAATTCTATTAAATCTAACCAAATATAATATTCAACAACTTTATATTAAGATTAATATATATAAAATTCATATGAAATTAATAATTGTAATCATCAGTAACAATATTTGGATATCATAATTAAATTCAATAATTTTCTTTATTTATTATATAGATGAATGTATCTCTTTTATAAATATATTTTTGTTTAAATTTTACTTATTTTATATTATTTTTATTATGAAATCTATTATGTTTGAAAGTGCAAAACTCATTCAGCTATCAAAATTAGACTATGATTTTTCTTGGCTTATTAAAATGAATTCAAAAGTTGATTTAAATATTCAATCATATTAAAATAATATTTTTTAATCTTGATTTATATAACAAACATTTTATTTTTTTAAAAATGATGGAAGAATTACAAAAGTAATTTATGTATTCTGAAATTTCTAAAAACTATTAAAATTACTTAAGAGATTTCTTAAAAATGAAATTGTAAATTAAAAAATAACTAATCAATAAATTAAGTTATTGATTTCTAAAATATATCTACAAAAAAACTATTAGGAATCTAAAGATATGAATAAATTATTATGAACTTACTTTAGTTTTATTTATTTATTATAATTATATATAAACACTTAATCATTTATCATATATATATATATTATCAAAAATAGAGGTATTGAATAAAAATAATAATGAATGATGAGTGTGAGTAAACAGCAAATTTTTTCTATCCTCCTGATCAATAAGGGAATAAATAAAAATTTATTCATTCAAGAAGATTATTAAAACCAAAGAGTGCTAATTCCAATCCATCTACATAATTGTAAAATATCTAGTTTTTATATGGATTATAGAATAATTTCTAAACGAAGTACTGATAATTCAGGTTTACATACACCTCCTTAAATAGGAGAGATAAAGAAAGGATTAGATATATTAAGAGATTGTGAAATAAAAAAAAATAAAAATTATAGAATTCTTAGTTCAAATATAAATGAACGATCAAGCTATCCTTAATAGATTAGTTTTGGAAATAAATTCATATTTATAAATGAATAGAAAATAAATAAATTTACTGAAAGTCCTTAATCTAAGATAAATAAACTGCCTGAAATCTTTAATCACAGAAACTCTTGTTAAGGATTTAAATAGAATTATAGAATATAAAGCAGTTAGAGTAAAAGAGATACTATTACAAATTTTAATATTGAATGCCCTAAATAAATTTATATACAATAATGCATGTAACGATTAGAACTGAAATAAACAATTTAAAAATAAAATTAAACTAGATTACCTAGTTAACCTATTTCTTTTTTATAAGCAAAACAATAAAAGAAGATGATAAATCGAATATTTTCAGGCAAACGTGATTCATGATTATAGTAAATATCTCATTCCATAGTTGATTTTTATACTTTAAAGGAATTTGCTTTTTTCAATCCCATTTTTGGTGTTTAAGAATTGAGTTTCGATATAGCATCTTCTAATTAAGATGCTTCCTCATTCACACAATCATCATCCTTACTCATTTGATTAATTTATTATTAAAACGAATTTTTCAAAGCTGTCTTTCTTAAATCTGATTAATTACTTTTCTTATTTACTTATGTATCTATAATAAAATATAATTAATTAGATACTTGAATCAGAATTTAGTTATTATTTCATAGATTAACTGAACTAGCTAAATTTGCTTTATTAAACTTAAGGCTTTTAATCTAATCTAGTTACTGATCCATTAGTTGATACATTCGAAAATGATCCCATAGTATCTATTCTTCCATTTAATGCAGGTTATCTCTATTATAATTACATTGATCCAACTTAACTTGGAGGTCTATAATTAAAATGAATATTATTAATTACCCTTATTACTTTCCTAATCCATAAACAAATTCTTTTTCATATTCTCTAAGACTATCTTAAACATCAATTAAATCTTATTCCTTAAATATTTCCTTGAAATATGGATGTTTTAGACAATCTTCAGATGATATTCTTCCTTTAGGATCTGGATATAACATCTTCTTTAATAAATCTACTAATTATAGAGGTGCCTATAATTATTAATATTTAAATTACTGTTTATATTTATTTTAGGTTGTAATTAATCTCACAATTCTTATTTGCTCTAAGAATTGCTTTATAATCTGTTCCTTAGAATGGTTATCTACCAGTCAAGAGTATATAAAAGATCACACCTGCACTAAATACATCACATTTTTCATCATAAAAGGGATCTCCTTCTTTATATATTAATATTTCAGGAGCAACAAATCCAGGTGTTCCACATCTCTTAAATAAAATATCTTCATTTAAAAAACATGCTAATCCAAAATCTGCAATTACTACATCAGTGTCATTATCTTTTTCTTTTAATAATAGATTTTCTGGTTTCAAATCTCGATGAATACATTTTTTAGAATGTAGATGACAGAGTGCTTTCATTAAATTATACATTAATTTTTATAGATTAGGAGCAGATAATGGTTAGGATTTAACTCTAGTTAATAACTCACCTCCTTTTAAAATATCCAAAATAAAATAAATTGAATTTTATGTTTCATATACTTCATGCAATTTTACTAGATTTTCTTAATTCAATCTTCTCATTACTTTAATTTCATTTTCCAATGATTCTCTTCCTTTAAATTGTTCTTACATAAATTCTTTATTAAATGCTTTGACTGCATAATTCATACCAGTAGATTTTTTTGTCGCAAAATAAACTTTAGCAAAACTTCCTTTGCCTATCATTTTTGTAACTCCAAATTCATCATGGAATGTAGATTGTAAACATCTATAATTTAGAAGATTCTTAAATGTATTATAATCTTCAAGTTTTAAGTCAATATACTTTCCATTTCGTATTAATCTAATAATATTACCATGTTAATCATGTTTAATTATATTCATCATAACAACAGTAATTTATAGTTAAAACATTGTTTCTTTTTTAATGTAATATAAATGTTCATTTCCAAGTTAGATTTTTATTGGTCTCAATTATTTTGATTTTTTGTCTATCTTGTAGCAATCCTGCTCGAAAACTATGTTATCATTCTAGAAATTCATACAAGATTTACATCATAAATATCTTAATTTAGAGTCTGCCAAAGGGGTGGCGACTTTGTTACAAGATCTAGATTATCAAAAAAAGATGCGATTTCAGTATTCATAATAATATTTTATTAATTTATATTATATATATATATATATGGGTGCAGCTTGCGCTAATGCAAAATTGAATTAAACAGTTCCTATAATAAAGATTACAAATGGAGATGATTAAGCAGAAAAAAATCAAGAAAACCAATTACAATAGTAAAGAAGTACATCTTCTAAAGAACAAAACAATACTAAATTAAGCACAATTTCAAAATAAGTTTCAAATATTTCATAGGAAGGAGTACCCATAAGAAAAAACACAACCTCACGTATGTCTATTTCGGGTGAAGAAAGGGATAAGAAACCTAAAGTTCAAGGCAAAAATTAAGGTCAAGAATAATTATTAAAACAAAGAGAATTTATACTTGAAAAATTTCTGAATGATATTTAATTGTTAGACAAGTAATTAATGTAAGATGTCATCCAGATGTTGAGATTCTTCTTATCTCATTTAGAATAATCTAATATTTATTGGACGAAGTAATCATATCAAATAATATATTTTTTAGAGTTTGGTTAATTAATAAAAATGATTACAGCATTGTTGTAGGATTTACTAATAATATAGGTGAATCAAGAAAAATAAGAATCTTGTATACAAAACAAATTGAATTAGTGGCTAATCTACTTGATAACTATTTATTTTTCTAATAACTTGGAAGTTATAAGATACATGATTTTAGTTTCAGATTGAACAAAAAACACAATAATTTCTATGTATTTTCTGAATAAGAATATTGTGATGTGTCTTTAGAGAATATATAATTGTAGCCAGAAGATATCTAACCATTATTGGAGTATCTCTTAAATACTATATAATTTATGCATTCAAATTTATATGTTCATTCAGGGTAATTCATATTTGTAATTAAGAATTAAGCCATCCAATGTTTACATGATTTATCATAAATAAAAGCAATTTAAATTAGACTTGAGTTTTTCTGCTTTTAGATTCTCTAGAAGACTAATCAAAAATAAAATCAAAGATTTTAGAGCCAATCTAGTCAATGACTTAGAAGATATTGCTATTCTTATCATAAATTCCTTTTACAAAGGTTCTGAAATTAGATAATAATTAAAATAAAAGAATATTGACTTTGCTAATATTATTGAATCCTTATATTAAAAATAGAAGAATGTTATTGAATGCTACATCAAAGATATTATCCTATTATTATATAGAAATAGATAATATCTTTATGATCTTTAAGCATCAGATTATGTTTAATTCTTGAAATGCTAATCTAACCCTCGATTAAAAGATCTTATTCAAGATATTCCAATTAGTAATAATAATAATAATAATAATAATAATAATAATAATAATAATAATAATAATAATAATAATAATAATAATAATAAAATTAAAAATGTACTTTTTGAATACTCTAAAAATAAAGTAGTTTTTTATAATTTAACATAAACTAGAAATTAGAAATCATACACTTAATATGAATTAATTGATCAAAATGAAAAATAAATTAATATTATTAATGGAAGTGCTTATATATAAGATAATAAATTTTATTTCGCTTTTGAAAATATGATTGGAATGATAACTATTAAACTTAGTTCTGAATAACTAGAAGATACTTTAGAAATGCTATAAATATCGTTGAGATAATATTTAGCTACAAAAGAATAATAAAAGAAAGAGAGAATTGATTCTGCATAAAAAAATTATTAATTGCAATTATAAATCAATTAACATAGTCCTTCTACTTAAATTGAAGATTAATTCAAATTCAAAGATACTACTTAGACTTAAAAATAACCTAATAAAAATTTTCATGATAGAATTTACTTTACTTATTAAAATTTATAAGAAATATTTAGTATTATAGATATAGAATAAAGAAATTATATTTCAGCCTAACAATTCTATGATTTCCTTTAATAATAAACAGATTCAATTGATAATTCATTGCTTTAACAACTATTATTAGATAAGATATAAGAAATAGTTTTATTCTTCTCTGATAAAAATTTAACTTTTCATGAGTTCCTATAAATTTTTTCTTTTCGATCAAAATAACAATTGCCTATATATAAAAAGATAATTAAACCATTAAAATAGGCTTAGAATGTAAAATCATTTACAATTATTAATAATACTGTTCATTATTATGATGGTCAATATTTATATAATGATGACAACCAAATCGAAATTCAATATGAATTAAAATATCTTATCAATAATTAAAATCAATTATTAATTATTGGAATTTAAGATGGATGTCTATATATTCATACATAATACAATTCTATATAAACAGATGTGAAAATCAATTAAGATTTTGGATTTTACAAATTAAATGATATTTACTTTATTACTCAATAAAATGAACTTATAATGTATTGTTTAAAACAAAAAAAAAGTGTAAAACTTAATATAAATGGAATTACATCATAATGCAATATAATTTACCATAAATATTTTATACTCTATTTACAAAATTAAAATGTTTATAGAATATTTTTATCTTAAGATAAATGGTGCATAACATCATTTAATGTATTTGAAGTATTATTTGAATATGGAAGATTAGATTAAAAAATAAAATTGAAATAAATAAGTACTAAATAAAATTAAAGTGATGAATTGATTGGATTATATTCTATTAATAAAGTTTATTATCCTATTACAAATCAAACACCATCATTATATAGAATTTTATCAGTTTCAAAAGAACAATAGAATTATATACTTATATAAAGAATTGTACATGTTGAATTTGAATCATTTGATGAATGTTATTAAATATGTAAATATCTGGATCCAAATTTATTGGATTTCTTTTTGAATGTGGAATAATATGATGGAAAAGTGAGATTAAATTATATTATAGAGAATTGTGATCTTATTTAAAAAGAAGATTGCAATTTTAAATTAATTAAAAGATGTGTTAAGAAATTGAATGAACTTAGATCTCATGATATATTTGTTTAAGATATGCATCCAAATAATATATTTATTACACCTAATTCAATTATTTTTGCTTCTCTTATATATAAGACTAATATTCCTAGTATTTATTAAGAAAAACCAGTACCATTTATGTCTTCATTAGAATATATGGAACCTAAATCATTTTTGGCTTTTACTTAAAATTTAACTTATAATTAAATCTTTATAAATCCTAGTAAAGCTAATGTTTACAGTTTAGGATTAATATTTTTAAGGATGCTTACAAATTATCAGATTAAAAATACTAAAGAATAATAATTTTATTTAATGGAAATAAACTTGGCACTTTAATAATTTAAAAATCCTAATTTAAAACCATTACTTGAAGAAATGCTAAAAGAGAATGAAGAATAAAGATATGATTCTTATTAATTAATATAATTTATTAGAAAATATTAAAAATTAAATTAAAAAGAATTATTCTTTACTTCATAACCATTATAATTATTAGAGACTTAATTACAATAAACTTTATATGGATATTAAAACAATACTATTTATCAATATCAGCAAGTATTTCAAATATATACTAACATTTTATCAACTAATTTATAAGTATTATGTGTTTAATCAAATGATGAAGGACAATTAATTCTATTGGCCAAATCATTAAATTAGAAGACATTTAAATATTTACTTCTATATATATATTTATCACAGAATTAATATGAATAATAACAATAACATTCTACTTTAATTTTTGAAGAATTAGTAAATTTCTAAAAATTTTCAGAGGAAGAATAAGATGAACTTGAGAATAATCAATTATAAATTATATAATAAAATGGATTGCATGTATAATCACCTCATGTTATAATAAAAGAAGTATAAGTTCCAATATTTGATTTATAAAATGTGAATGAATGTACATTTTTGATAAATGGAGAAGATCTTTATTTTTTTGGATTTGGAATAACGAATGAAATAAGAAGAGTAGGATCAAGAGATTGTTTTGTATATATGCCTAAAAGAAATTTATTCAAAAAAGTTGGTTATAGAACAACTTATTATGAAGCTTAAGCATTAGATTTTGGTGAATATTGGTTGTTATTAGAAAAGAATTCTAATAATAATAAGATTAGAATTTAGTAAATTACTAAAGCTTCATTTTTATGTATTGAAAAAGTTATAAAATTAAAAAATAGCTAACAATTATTTTATTTTAAATATTTGTAAAATGTTTTTGCCATCTCTAACAATTTATGTTGGTATATCAACATTGAAGCATTTAAAGCATTTGAAATATAATGTGATAATATACCAAAATCATTAATTTTTATGCAAAACACTTAAAATAATACAATTTTAACATAAGATGGTGTATCAACATTATAATTTGATGGTAATGTGTTAAAAGTATATTGATTTATATATTATATCAATGTTATTTGAATACTTATTACATTGTAGCTCTTGAAATGGTTGATTCACTTTTAGAATCCATATCAATCATCTCAATTCCAGTTAAATTTACTAGTAGTTCTTCATTCAACAGACCATCAATTTAAGATGTAATAATTTAAGTGTGTTTTAATTATTCATCATCAAAAAAATCGTTAAGTTTTTATTTAGGAAATATTTATGTACTCATTAAAATTTCCATTGGACCTAAATTTGGCAAATCAATAAGTCCATTTCTTACTCTTTAGCTTCCAACACTGAACCTATTTTTTAAGTCAAATATTGATGAATTTTTATTGTATCTCTTTGGTCCATCATCTTTATTTTTTTAAAATGACTTAACATAATTTTTAATAATAAATCTTAAATTTGGTATCAATTCTCTACAAAATACTTAATTGTTTTGTAATTCTGAGAACATCCATTAACTCTATTAACTTAAATATATTTATTGCTAAGATTCTTTTTATTAACGTGCAGTCATCAAAGATTTATTAATTACTGATTGTCTACTTGAATGTTTTTATTTTTGTGTTTATTTATTTTCTCTTAATTCATCAATCAATAATAATGTATGTTCTAATATTTCTTTTGATTTAACTCTTAAAGAAGCAAATCTAATTTAAGCATTTAATTATAACTTTTTTTATAGTCTTAAATAATTAAATACATAAAATACCCTTCTAGAAATATATCATATGATTCTTCATCAACATAATCTTATAATTATACTAATAATAATCCATAAATGATAAACAATTTCTCTTATCTTAATTAAATTAGTTAAATACTATCCTTATATAATACTTCTTTATAATTATCTTTAGATCGACTTTCTAAATACTTTTCAACAACTGTATAAATTAAACATGCTTCATCAAAATAATGTTTTAAAAATGAGATAGTATGAAAATGACTTGAAAAATCCCTATCTGATAGATGTTATTCGATTTATAAATAATCAAGGATTTCATTAGAAAGGTCTAATAATCCTGTTGGATATCTCTTTAATTTGATAGATTAACTAATATACTGTAATTTAGAAACGAGTATTTTAAATGATTTCTTTATCTATTTTAAAATGCTATATGATTGCTATCAATTTTTCAAAGCTTTCACTATCACTAGAATCTAACTATTCACAAATTAACATTAATTAATAATAACATTATTATGTTAATTTTTCTCTTCTATTTAGTAAACTCATAATATATACAAGATGGAATACAAATTTTAGAAAAAGGTATGTAATTATCTATTGACAAATATCTTGTATATTCAAATTGTCCAGCAAATCTGAACTCTTTTTGTCATAAAAGAATACCATCAATTTCTATTCAAGAATAAGAAACTTTAAATGTTATCTAAAACTAAGTAAAATGCTATTATAAAATAGGTTTAATAAGTATTAGAGTAACTAGAACCTGAATAAAATAAACATTAATATTATAATAAAATTATCAATCAATTATTTTAAGAAATAGTTCTATATGATCAAAATGAAGAGTTTTTGTCATTTGCCTTTAAATTTAGTTAATTTAATTAGAAAAAAGAATTACAATTAATTTAAGAAAAGTATTATATTGATTCATTAAATCGATCAGCTATTATAATGGATAATAATAACAATAGTTTATAAGAATATAATACTACACTATTTATGAAGTTTTAAGATTTATATATTCCTTCTAAAAATAAAATTCTTAATCATCAATTTGGATCAATTAATATTTTGTATCCTCCTGATAGTTTTAATATAAGAACAGCAGACAAGAACGGTTGCATCTATTTTACTAAACCAATATATCTAACTTAATTTTATGCATTAAGTTACGAAGTCAATTCTATAATTAGTATCGGTTATAACAACTAAACAATAAAGATGATTTCTATTCCTGTTAAAAATAAATGGGTTTTAGTTTTTGGTCCAACTGGATAATATATAAATAATATTACAATTTCAAAATAAACTCATATTGATTCACTAATTATTAAAGTATAGAAATAACCATATACAAAATAATAAATTAAAATTTTAGTGATTGAAAGAATTTTAGATAGATATTATCTATTAAACTCAGAATCATTATTAAATTATTTAAGTATAGAGGATGAGTCTCAAGAGGATGATTAAACTTATTATTAGACAATAAATATATTTTTGGAATTTTTAGAAAAGATATTGGGTAGAATTAATTAGTTTAAAAAATAAAAATAATTTGAATCTTTAAATTCAGAATAAATAATAGATATATTATAAGATGTATGTAAGTATTTGATTATATAAAGATTGAAAATGAAATGTCACAAAATGAAATTTTGATATTTTAGAACTTATTTTAAAATTTCATGGTAGAGAAATATTCTGAGAATGATATTATATAAATGTATGAGCAGTTAATTTAAATAAGTGAAGAATTCAAAGATAATAATATAGATTGAATTATAGTAAAAAATTCATTTAAGTGAATCTTCATATTTATGATCTCTTAATAATTTAAATTTATTTTTATAGGCCAAAAATATTGACCATTATTTAGAGAAAGGGTTTTCGTTTAAGTCTTTTAAAGGTAGTTAAAATGAAGATTTTGACATTAATTTCTTCTTTTCATTATCATAATACCTATGTAATTTAGCCTCAGGTACTTTTATGAATTCTTCTTTTTGCAATATAGATTCCTGCTTTTCATTTTAATTCAATAAAATATTGAGAGATTAGGAATGGCATGATGTATTTTAAGAAAACAATTTAACAGATCCTCTGACTTTTTTTGGCATTTTTGGATTATAATATCCAACTGCAGGTTAATTATTGTCTGGTGTTTTTATTAATAAGTAATTTTTTTTAATAGGAGGAACATAATTAGATTATATAGATTATTTATGGGATGTTGACCATGTTGAGTAATTAGTTTTAGACATTTATGGTTATTAGATATCTTTAAAGAGAGTTTTTAGAAAAATAAAATTATTGCTTTCTTATTAATGAGAAGAATGATTGCTGAATCTTAAATATATGGGTCTTTTTTTGACTTTAGATGGTTATGACTTTGGAGTAATGGAGAAACGAAATTTGGATTTATTAAATTTAAATTAAGTTTTGTATGTTGTTTTTGATCTTATATCTTCTTGTTCATTATCCATGATTCCAGTTATGAAATCATATTAAGACTTAGTCTATAAAATTGATTAGAGTGATTATTTCATGAAAATTATTATGATAAATTCTCAATAAATAAAATATTAAATTAACATCACTATAAATGAATTTCACTTTTATGATAGATAATTGTTTATCTTCTTGTTAAATAACTTATAATGGACTAACTATATTAGATTATGCTAAGAGTGCAATAGAATACTTTGTAAAAAAGAGAACAAAGAATCCAGAATATAAGTATGATCAATACCATCTTTTTTCGTCAAAGTAATTTTTTGTTCTTTACATATTGTGTATAGTTCTTCAATCTCAACATGGACAAATGACGTATGCCATTTTTTACAAAAACTAAAAACTATTCAACCTTAGTTCGAAACTAATTTCAATTTAGATGAGTGTTTCCACAATTTAAACAAATTTAGAACTTTAAATGGTTATTTATATATATAATTAAATACAGGCACTGATAATCTTTATGGAGGAAGAGATGTCTTAAAAATAGAATCAGCTATCATATTTGTTTTCACTAACAGAGAATATATTGGACCTGCTTTCCATACATTGATAAGATGGGACTATAGACTTCTTGTATTTTTGTTACAACCTCCTGGAATCGAAGAAACCAATGCCATTTCTATATCAACGAATTGGCATAACCTAGCTTCTTCTGTAGGTTAAGGAGTGTGTTTCGAAATTCAAGATTATAATATTTTATTCTAAATCTTAGATGATCCAAAATTAACACCACCTTAAATATCTCTTTAATTAAATCTTTTAGATTAATAAAATAAAAATGATGAAATTTAATCAATCTTTGAAAAAACAAAGATTGAATAATAATCAAGTCAGCCTTCTTATTTGGTGAGATCTCCTTAAAAGCCAAATTAATCGTTTGCTTCTGTTCGTTTAAAATGTTAACCAAATATGACTATATTCACAAAAGTATATTTGCCTGAATAATTTCCATTTTCAGATTTTAATGTATATAAATTAATTTATTAAATAGAATTATCCTGCTTACCCTGAGTATTATGTTGATTTCAATATATCATTTAAAGCAAAATTACCCTAATAATTACCTTATTAAGAGATATTCATTGAAAATGTTTTATTGTTGAAATTTATTCAGGGTATCTCAACAACAAAAGGGAAAATATTACAATTTCCAATATTTTATTATGAAAAAAGAGATGAACAAAAAGTTCAATATTTAATTGGATTATTTTTATTTTAACAAAATTAAACAACAATGGAATTACGATTGTATTATCTCTAAAATCAAATATTATAGTTACTTTCCTAATTTTTTAAATTACTATGAACTTTTAATGTAATGTGGTAATTCTACAGATGAAACAAGAAGATTTGCCGAATAAAAATTGTTGTAATATCTTTCTACAATACCAAATTATTATGCTCCATGTATTAGAAAGAATTAAAATGAATTAAATATTTAAGTAAATAGACTTTAATTTTATATTAGATTCAAAGATAATTAATATTTTTGATAGATGAATAAAATTAATAATTATATATGTAGAAAGTTAAGGCTCATTAGGCTAAAATTTAAAAGATAAAAAAATAAGTGGATGATGAAAATTATAAAAATAGATAAATGCATATATCCAGAAAGAGCCAATGTTGTGCAGCATTCAGTGAAAATTATGAATAAAGATTTCAAGATTAAATTGATTGTGAATTCAGAAAAGTAATATAATTCTAATAGGATGTCAATTTTTAAAGATTTATTCCATAAGAAGAAATACAATCTTGTTTGCCTTAAATGCCTATTATTTAACCTACTCTACGAAATATATATTTGGATTCTGATGAAATGGAGATTAGATTAGAACCTCAATTTTGTGGAAATCCATGGAAATTACAAAGAAAAACTTATAGAGATGGAGTAGAAATAAAAGTTTATTATTATAATTATTTATTAGAATGAATAAGAAGAAATATTATTAGAAGATATGATGTTAACTAAAATGGATTCCGAAAAGAAATCATAAACAAAAAATAGAAGAAAAGGATTTATGAGGTTAAAGGATATACAAAATTGTAATCATAAATAAGTTAACATTGAATAATAAGAAATGGAAATTGAAGAAAATTAAACTGAATCATAATCATAATCCAAATAAGGTTCAGTCAAATTCAATCCTCTTTTTTAAGTAATTATTTCTTACATCTAGGCTAAATTTAAATTGATTGTCCTAACTAAATTGAATAATTCTGTATCCACAAACAATTGAAACACAAAAGTAAAAAAATTATTATGCTTGTCTTTTAAGTAGCTTTTTGTAATAAAAGCATAGTTTATTTTTTAACTTAAATTTTTGCTTCAATATTTTTTGTTTTTTTTTTGATAATTTAAATTATTGATGTTTACAAATACTCTCGGAGCATAAAATGGATTGCCTTAACAATAATAATAAGGTTTGGCAGGACAGAGTGCTTTAGTTTTTGGTAATACAGGTGTTTCCAACAATATTTTTGGGCAAATACAACAAATTACTACCCCAATAGGATAAGCCTAAAATTAAGGAGTATTTGGATAATAACCAAATTAACTCAGTTAACCTCAATTATATGGAGGATAACCATAATAAACAACAAATTTATTATAATAACCTTAAGGATAGTAAATGGGCACTTTAGGTCAATAGACCGCATAAATAGGTTAAGTATAATAAACAGGATTTTTTGGATAGTAACCAACATTACAAGGAGGATAGATAGGATAAATGTAATAACAACAATAAATTTAGTCATAATAACCATAATAACAATAATAATAATAATAATAATAATAATAACAATAATAGACTAAAACTTATACAATTTAACAAATTAAAAATGAAACCTAAAAACACATTGATAATCTATCAAAAACTATCATTAATAAAGAGAAAATTGAAAAAAATTAAAAAAATTTATAGTTAATTGAAAAAAATTCTCTACGAAATATATAATAATAATAACAATAATAACCTCAAGTAAATCCATCTATTGGATATGGTTTAACATAATAATAATAAATACAAAGACCAATCCAAAAAGTTGATCCTAGAAATCATACTGCAAAAGTAGAAAAATATTATGGAGAATGGAATAAGGGAATTTCAAGGATTGCATAAAAATAAGGAGAAACTATTAATTAATTAAATGAGTTAAATTCTCTATTATCCCAATAAGATACATATTATGGTATATTAATATTATTATGAAATTAGAAATAGATGAAGAGTCATTGATAGATTCAATAAAATAATTGGGAAAAGAACTTAATTTATTAGAATACAAGATTGTAGATGTTGTAAAATTGTAAGAGAAAATTTTGGGATTAGAAAAGGAAGAATCTGAATGGGATCAAATTGTTAATAATTTAAGTGAATGTTTGACTCTTTTAGAAATTTAAACTGTAATATAATAATCATTATATTATTTAGAAAGAAGTTGAGGATCAATTGCATTAAGCAGAAACTCATCCAAAAGTATTAAACAAATGAAATGAATTTACTAATAAATATTAAACATAATCGAATTAATTAATTATTAATTATGAATACAATTGTTCTTAAATTATTTCGCTTAGCTAAGATGGGATAGAAGGAAGAATTCTTATCTCTTGTGTAAAATAAAGGAATTATGAATAAATTATAATATTTAAATGGAAAGGAATTATCTATGATAATATATGGCTATTCAAAATTGAATTTGATGAATTAAGAAAATCAACATGAATTTGAATAAATATATTTAAATAGCATTAAAAAGTTAAATGTTCATGATCATGTAATGTGTGGATGGTCTCTAAAAAATACTTAAAATAAAGATGTATCAAATGCTTTAATTTAATCATTTCATTAAAATTGGGAAAATATTAAACAAATGCAATAAAATAAAGCCAATATAGGTTTAATTGCTTATTTATCTGCAAATGAAAAAAATCCTGACGATCCAATTTGGAAATAAATAGAAGATGTTTTTTATGAAACAATGGAATTTTAAGATTAAAAAAATTTTATGATTATACTCTATGCTTTCTCTAAAGTTTAACCAAAAAGTGATTCTATTTGGATTTCACTTGAGAAATATATTTGGGGCTAAGGATTTGATTAATTTTCTAGAAGAAACTAGGTTCTTATGGTTTATTCATTTGCTAAAGTTGGTAAAGGTTCTATGTAATTTTGGGAAGTAGCAACAAAATAAATCCCAAACCTTAAATTTAAATTTTCAGATGATATTTCATTTTGTATTTGGGCATTTGCTAAAATGAACATTAATAATTTATAATTCTGGGAGAAGATGATTAATAAATAGCTTTAGATTTGGGATAAGGTATCTTTAGCAGATATTGAAAATACAACATGGGCCTTAGAAAAAGTTTAATTAACTAATCCTGATATTTGGAATTAAATTCTATAACAATAAGTATCAGAACATCAGTCTATTTCATTGAAATATAATGAATTTGATGAAGTTTTAACAATTGGTAAGAGATTACATAATTTGAAAATGGATTAAAGCCCATTATTTTTATCTTTACAAAAAAAAATCAATGGAATGTTATCTTAGAATAAAGTAAACTTTTAATCTTTGCATAGACTGCATTTTTTGTCAGTTTTTATTGAGAAAGACAATACTATATGTAATGAAAGTTTAATCTAATAAATAATTAATAGTTTTAGTCAAAATTAAACATATAATTCCAATCTAAATTTATTAAATAGCTTAACATTGCTTTTGTAGGATGAAACTTTGGCTAAATTTAATTTAAATAATAAATTCAAAGAGGTTATCAATAAGAGTTTTACAAATATTAAATTTATTGATTTCAAATCAAGTATTGATTAAGAAAAGTATTTTTGGATAGGATCTTATTTACTTCAGTATTAAGAGAATGATATTTTACCATTATTAACATCTGAATAAATATATGAAAAAGTAGAGAATAATATATCTCATTTATGTAGTTTGATTAAGATTTTATCTAAACATGATAATGCTGCACCATTTTTTAATAGATTAAGAATGTATGAACACACAAAACCTGATGTTTTTATTAGTTTATTTTACAATATGATCCATAAATATGGATATTTAATACCATAAGAAAAGTATAAGAAACTTAGAAATATGTTAAAATCTATTAGTCAAACAAAAGATAAAATGGAAATTTAGAATAAATTTATTGATTTTATTTTAATTAAGAATAATAATATTATTGAAGAAATAAATGCATTACTAAAGATATAGATTTAAGATTACTTAAAATAATATAATAATGATTATGAAGTAAATATTCTATAAAATATTAATTAGGTAGATTTATAGAAAATATTACAAGAATAAGTAAGTAAATAAAGATTAGAATTCTAACAGTAGATTGATTTGAAAAATCATTAATTTATAGATATTGTAAATATTGATATTCAAGGTTAAATTGAGGAAAATACAACATAATGATATATTATTCTTTATATATTTTTTTAATCATTACACATTTGAATTTATAAAACAATAATATAATTTAGTAGGTTTGGGTATTTATGTGATATTTATAGTAAATTACAGTTCTTATTATAAATATTTATTAAATAATTTAATTACTTAATTCACTTATCTTCGATATAATTATAAGATTTGATTTTTATTTTTTGTATTTATTAAATGAATCAACTGACTTAAGGTAAATATATATTTAAAATGAAGGAATTTCAAAGTTTGATATCTTTGGTTAGACAATTACCTTAAAAATGAATAAGTAAAACTATTACAAGACCTTCTTTGGTGGAATAGTGTCTATTATAGTTTTTTTAATTATGATTATGTTCTTTTCATCAGGAATTAAATCATTTTTCAACAAAGAAACTCTTGTAGCCACTGTTCTCACTGATTTTGAAGAAATTCCATCTTAATCAATTATAGATGATGCAACATTTTTATTTGCTATTCAAATTGATTAAGAAAACTTTTTATCAAGACCATTTTTTGATATAGAAGTATTACAAGTATTAGAAACAAGACAATTTAATGGTAGTAAAATAAGAGAAGAATAATAAATTTAATTAGTTCCTTGCACACTTGAAAGATTTACAACAATCTTTGAATAATACAATAAAAACATTAGTTAAACTTACACAGACCTAAATTTAGATAAATTTCTTTGTTTTAAGTATTATAATTCAATATAAATAGAAAAAATGCTACATTTATATTAGAGGGAACTCATTCAAGTATAATAATTCATTTATATATAAAGGTATACAATTTTCATACTTAAAAATATCTATTAAGAAATGTAATTCAACAATAATTTGTGCAAGTTAAGAGGAAAGAGATGCAGAAATAAAATTAAATGGATCATTTAAAATAAAATTATATACAGTTAATAAAGTTAATATTAGTAATATTCATAGATCTTAAATCCATACAATCCAAGTGAAAATTATTTGCAAACTTATATTGATGATTCATTCTATATCAATTTTCTACCTTCAATAATCAGTAAATCAGCTAATTTATTTCTTAAATAATTTCAAGTAGAAAGTGATTAAAGTTTAACTCCATTTCAATAAATTACTTAAGATCAATTTTATATACTTGATTAATCTGAAGTAAGGGAGAGAGTTGATTTCTACAAAGAAGACAATGTAGAAGTTGCAACCATTTTCTTAAGAAAAAGTCCATATAAAACATAAATCTATAGAAGCTATCTTAAAATTGACAATCTTTTATCTAATTTAGGTGGAATTTAATAGATTCTTTTCTTCTTTTTAGGCTTTATATTAGCATTATATAACAGATTTTAATGTAATTTCAAAATCTATTATAGTGCTAATCGAACTTGCTAATAAACTCTATGAATTTATGTTAGTAGAAAAATAATCTAAGAGAATGCATGAAAATAATCTTAATCTTGTCAATCAATTAATTACTGAGAGATAGTATCTTGATTCAAAAGTAACTGAATGTGATGCGACTATTTAACTCTTAAATTAAACCTAAGTTAAATAAAAAGAAAATAATTCTAAATTGAAATTCGAAGATCAATAATAAGCTATATTTAAGGTAAATAGAAAAGGCAAAACATTTTTGAAAAAATCCACTAAATTTTATTATGATGAATAAAAAAAAGCTTATCGTAGTCATATTAGTAATGGATTAGAGTACTTTGAATCTTAAATAAATCTTTTAATAAGAAGAGCAAAACCTATTAAATTAAGTTTCCAATTATTAATGAATTATGTCTCCTGTTAGTTATTATTTAGAAACAAAAGAAAAATTATCCTAATGAATAAAGCCATGTAAAGTTAATTATATCCTTTTTAGGAATCAGTTATCAACTCAAATTGATCTTTTTAATATATTGACTAAATTAAATGAAATAGATAAATTAAAGGAAGTACTTTTAACTTCTGAGCAACAACTTTTATTTGACTTTACACCTAAACCTATAATATCTTTGGATTATAAGGATGTTAAGATTGATCGATTTTTAATTGAATAGAATTCTAGGTGTGATTTAGATTTAGAGTAAGCATATTTATTATTCTTTAAGAATTCAATAAAAAGAGAAATAAATTAAAGAAGTTGAAATTTCATAAAAAAGTCTTCATCTAAAAGCTGATTCATCTTTATATGAACGTATTTACAAAGTAAATTTCTATTTATAATGTTTTTAGGCCTATGACAAAGTCTTAAATGGTTTAACCGTCTCAAATTAATATGAATAGTACATAAATAATTAATTAATCAATTAATTAGGAGCAGAAGTTTAAACCATTTTTAAACTTTCTAAACTTATTGACTTCTCTGTTTCTTTTTCTAGAACTTTTAGAAGAAAAGGATAAATATTTTAAAAGGAAATTGATCCTATTAGTCCTTGAACTATTTTTCAATCTGATTTAATATATCATAAACAAGCTTTAAAATAAAATATTATATATTATTTCTTTTTTATAATTAATTTTAAATAAATCTTAAAAATAACCATATAAAATCTAACATATTTTTAATTTTTGTTTATCATATATGAAAAATTTATATTATCAATATAATGATTGAAATATTATAACGAATCTAATTTATAAATAAGGAAATGGGTTCTTAAATATATTTTCAAACTTTCTGTAATTTGGAGAAATAAATTAATTATACGATTAAAGAACAATTGATATTGTGAAAATAAATTATAATTTTTTTGATTTAAAATTATCATTAACTTTGGATAATTATTTGAATAAAAAATAATTGATATAAACTCAACTCAAATCAAATCCTGATCCAGATTCTTTTAATGATTTCAATAGCTTTTCTCTAACCATTTCTTTTGATTTATATTCAGGCAAATCAATTCTATTAAAACTAATATAAATAAAATATGTATTTACCATGCATGAGCTTTAATAAAATGTTCAGAATTGAAATCCTTAGATATTGAAAATTTTTTTGGTCCATTTGGTCCTCTTAAATTTTTAAATCCTCCAAATGGAACTAATGGACTTCCTGTTGAGAACATTAAAAAATCAGATTTTTCTGAATCACTTAAAGTCTTCAATACTTCCCAAAACCATAAGACAGTTTAATTGTTTTTATCATAATTCACATATTCTGTATTTGCTTGAAGATCATCAACTAAATAAATATAATTTATTAATTGTTACCATCTACTGAGGGTACTCCTATAATTAATTTTTGTAAATCTCTCCAATCCATATAAGAAAAATATTCTTTAGGTAAGATATCAAAGAATCCTTCTCTTATTACTTGAATTTAACCTTTAATTTCTTCTATCATCAACTTTTTACTAATGACTTCACAAATAAGTCTTTTATGTTTAACAGTAACATTTGATGTTAATTATAAGAATACATCTTATAATTTAATTTATTTAAGGGCTTCATCACTTAATTATTTTCTTTTGTTCTTTCTTATTAATCTTTTTTTTTCTCTATTTTCCATATCTTCAGCTGTGATATCCTCTGATTATTTCTTTTATTTTGGTTCTTCTTATTCTTATTACTTTTATTTAAAATATTGTACTAGATCTTATTTAAAAGGAACTCCTTAGTTTTTTTTTTCTTACTATTATTATTCTTCTTATTATTATTATTATTATTATTATTATTATTATTATTATTATTATTATTATTATTATTATTATTATTATTATTATTATTATTATTATTATTATTATTATTATTATTATTATTATTATTATTATTATTATTATTGTTAATCTTACTATTTTTATTATTATTATTAATCTTATTATTTTTATTCAATTGTTTAATCCTATTTAGCTTCAACTGGATTTTTTTCTAAATATTCTTAAAGAAGATCAGCAAAAATATATTTTTTGTTTTATTCAATCAATTAAGCATATTCTTCAGGAATCCAAAATTCAAATAAATCCTTATATTAAACTTATGTCTCATCATTCATAAATTTAATAAATGTATCATAATATCCTTCATTATAATGTTCTAAATCATCAAAGCTAGGTTTTTTTTAGAGTATCATTTTAAATATTGTTGGAATAAAATAAACTGGTAATAATAATCCATCATAAATGCTTTTTGCTACTATTCTGCCTAAAAGTCTATAATGATTCATATCTTCAGTTGACTTTTTATTAGGATTTATTTTGTAAAATCTTTTTGTAGTCAATTCAAATTTATCAGTTTATAATATATCTTTAACAAGATTAGTCATCCATTCTTTTCTAATACCTCCTTCATCTTATCCTCTTTCCCCTTGATATCTTATTTTTATTTCACTTTTTCTAAACTTATTTTTTTCAACTTACAACACTTTTTCTAATGATTATTATAATCTTGTTTCTCTTACAACAATAAATTCTATAGTTTCACCTTATCTTCCTCTAGATCTTGAATTTGGTTTATCATTAATTTTCAAAGTTTCCAGATCCATTTCAAAGAAATGTTTCTTATTTTCAAAAGAAACTATTTAACTCATTTTAAAAAATACAAAGCCTAGTGGATCTGCTTCTTTAAACAATTTAATAGGATTCAATGAATGACTTTATTTTAAATCATAATTTATTTATTACAATCTCTAATTAATTAAATAATTGATTATTCTCTTTCCATTAATGCACAAATAAGTAAAAAGTTCGTCAATTTTCATTTACATTTCATTCTCATTTCTTACTGATGAAAAAGATCGTTTTAAATGTATTGTTTAAGTTTATAATAAACCAAATTAAAGTGAATTAGTTGCTGAACCACTTAAATTTCTCTCAAAAAAGTTTGTTTCTGCATTTGTTTTTTCTGAATGTTCTTAAGAATTTAATTCTTCATGCACATTTTGATATAGCCTTAAGAAACATTCCAAAAGAGGATAGAGCTTTTTCTATAACAATTCTAATGATCTTGACCCTTTATAATTAAAGATCAATAGTAAGGTTTCAACAATATTCAGCCATAAATGATGTGTTTATCTAGTTTATAGAACATTAATAAATCTAGTTCTAATGTCTTTTTTAGCTGAATTGTCAACATCACCTGTTGCATCAATACTTTTGCCTTACTGAGTTAATTTAAATTTCTTTTTATCCATTTAAATTTATTATCTAGTTTATGTAGAACTTGGCTTATTAACTTATTTATTTTGTTAATCAGACTACATTAGATTGAGATTGAGGAATCCTGTTATTGCAATAAAGCACCTTTGAATGATACTTGGATCAGGAATTTTTTAGTTCAATTCTTTGATAATTTCATTTTCTTAAGCATTTAACACTTATGATTATTCAGGATCATAATCCTTTATTTTTTCCCTTAAATTTGTAATCTCTCTTAGTTATTTTCTTTTTTTATCTAATTCAAAATTGAAGACTTTGGATTGTTATATGATATATTTAGTTAACTCATTTATTGCATGTTCAATTTTTAGTTTATCATTAGCATAAGAATTTAAAATATTAATGATTTCATTGGAATTACCTTCTCTTAAAAGGGGATTATTTAAATTTTTGCATAGAGAGGTAATGATATCAATTTCAACATGAGAAATTTTGGCACTTACTTTTCTTTCTCTTTTTGGTAATTATGAATTTGATTCATTTTGATCTATTTCTTCATTTTTAAATTATTATTATTATTATTATTACTATTATTACTATTATTACTATTGTTACTATTGTTATAATAATAATAATTATTATTATTATTACTATTATTGTTATAATTATTAGTATTATTACAATTACTAATTCTATTATTATTCATCAGCTATTTTTAATTAATTGATTTATTATATAGATTATGGTGGTTGTCTAAGTGATTAAAACTAATGTAATTATTAATGCTATTGTAAAATTGACATAGAAGAAATAGGAAATGGAGGAATAATTTATTTTGGTTAAGGAGGAGGTTAAGGAGGAGGCTAAGGAGGTTACATTTATATCATAGAAGCATTTGATAGTTATCTTAATTAAGATTATTATTCAATTTATCTAAATTGAAGTGATTTAAATGTAAATGATGTCTAATCCCAAGAATCTTAAGCTTCTAGGTTTTTATCACCAAAGGTCTTCAAGATTAAATCATGAAATTATATATCCTCGTTTCTGTTAAGTTAGGAAAATAAATCAAATATTTTGCTTTCATCTATTCCACCATTATATATAGCTGCTTATCTCCTCATAATTTTATAAAGATTTTCATCATCAACTTTTTTTCCTTTTTCTTTTTCTTCAGTTGTTATCATTAATGATCCTCGTATAATCTAAATTAAGTAAGATAAATGTAAGTTAGTTTAATTTGCTAATAGAGGAGTTAATAGGATATCTATAATAAATAAATAATTTAATACTTTTTTCAATTGGTATGTAGGATTCAGCATTATGAAATAGTGTCAAAAAGGAAATATTCTTTTCACAATATATATTTATTTAGTTAATCAAAAAAACTAAAGGATTTTCAAGATCATCATCTTATAATTACTCATCTATGTTTTCTTCTTCTATTATAAACTGCTCTTTAATTTATTACCCCTTTGCTAGATTAGCCTTTTCTCTTTTATTAAGTATTGGACTTATTTATAATTATTCAGAGAGTAGATCCCTTAAATTATTAGATGGAATCTTTTAACTAACTAAATATAAAATTTTAAGAGTAAGTTCTAAATTGTTTTTCTATTCTTAATATAATATGAGTAACTAAATAAGCAATTTAAATCCCAAACGAGAACATTTACTAATCTAACGCAAGAGATTAAAAGGAAATGATGTAAAATTATTTTAATCTACTAATAGAGACATTAACATCTCTAATAATATATTATCAGTAATTTGAAGCTGTTATTCATTTGGATGAATCAAAACTCTTTTTGGTACATCTATTAACTTACCTTATAAGTTTATGTTTTCTTCAGGATGTAATAGACTTTGTAATTTTGCTTTTAGTAATCCTTAATCATGTAAATCATTTGGCATACCATTCAATACTACTCTGCTTTGTAAAACATTGCATGATATTTAAGTTAAGATTCTTTATTATTATAAAGATGTTTCATTAATATTGATTGATAAAGAATTTGCTTAATAATCTTATTAAAGTTAATTTGGTGCTTAACCAAATTTAGAATAGAAGCATAGAGTTCCAGATTAGATTTGCAAATAATTTAATGATCCATTTAAATAATAGGATAAATATTATTATAATTATTCTGTTTATTTATTATGATAGTATGTTGATTAAAGGAGTAATCTATTTATTGATTGAATATACTCAACAGTATACTTTAATTAATTTTCATAAGCCTTTGAGGTTAATGATTTCTTATTTTCAAAATATTCATTAGAACTGAAATACAAACCAACAATAGAGGTGATCCATGTTTTGTAATCATTTTATTAATATACAATATTTTAGGTAGTAATTTAAAAATTAGGTAAAGTGAAATTATATAATTTTTGATCTAGATTACAAAAGAGAATGTTTAAATCTTTTTATGGAAAAATAGTTTATTGATTTTCTTTGTGTAGTTTTTCTTCATCTCTATTTATACTACATTTTGTCATAAAATCACTATCGTAGGAATAATAATCGCCTAAGGAATTAATGCTTGAGTAATTTGCTTTATATTTGATTTAAGTGTTCTCTATTTATAAAATATCTTGATCTGACTCAGAATCACTTAAATCTTCATCTTACTACTTTTGATTATTTTGTCTTTGATTATTGAAGTTTCTTTTAGATTAATATAAAGGCCATACGATTTCTTATTAATGTTCATCTTTTAGTGTTTATTAAACTTATGGATGAGAAACAAAATGTTAAGCTGAACCAGAAATAATTTTATAACTAGGATATAATTGATAACAAATCAATTAATTCTTTAGACAATGAAGATAATGAAATTAAAAGGAATTTTCATTAATACTCTATTATAATCTAAAAATATCTCCATATCTTCCTTATTTGGTATGTTCAAAATACACCTGAGATTATAAGAATGGTTCTAATACTTTGGCAATAGTTTATTGATATAATTTGACAAATTATTTATTCTCACATTCTTTAACACTATTTAATGTACTAATAATTTTAGGAACAATATTCAATTATGATCTTTAATCAGTCAAAATTAATAAACAATTTTAAAGTGTTAATGTTTATGTAAATAGTACTAGTAATTACAAAATATGATAATATTTTTTTAAAATATTATTATGATCAATTTTTAATTCATTCAATAATAATTAGAGTACTTCTTAACCCAAAGTTACACCATAACCAACTGAAAGTAGATTAATGTCACTTAAATAATTATGCATAAAATTAGTTAATTTATCAAATCCTACCCATGTTAAATATTTAATAACAAATTCTAAAAAAGTAACCTATTTCTCTTCATTATTTATTTATATAGGTAATACTACTTTCAATTATCTTAAATATAATATTAATTAAGGAATCTTAATTATTAACATTTCAATTATTCTTAATAATTGGTCCCATCCATATATGTAAACTATTCTATCATCTTTTTATTAAGTTGATTTAACATTGAATACTTATTCAATAAATTTAAAGTTCTCTTCAAAAAATCTATCAACTGTTGTTTATGCTATAATATTTATTAAATTTATTAAATTTGAGTTTAATTAAGGTTCTATAAAATGATCAATTTCATATCTAATTATTATATCAGTTTATGTTTATTAAAGAAGATCTTTTTCCTTTTCTTTTAATAATTTTTCTTATTCTTTTGTCAACTTACCAGTTACTTATAATGATGATTATTTTACAGCATGAATTCTTGATAACTCACTAAACTTATCAGTAATAGAAAAACCTTGTTATTCAATTATTGTGTTATAAACAATTGGATTATTAACTAGAACAGGATGAAATTATAGTAAATATTATAATGGACATTCAATAAACTTTTAAGGCATTTAAATTTAATTTAATTCATCTATACTCTTTATTTATTAAGCATGCCAATCTATATGTTCATTTAACATAATTTATTTTAAAATTAACATTATTAAATCATTTGCTGTTCTATTATCTATTGCAATTAAATATAAAAGATTTTCTATAAATACTGGTTGTGATTCTTCAAATTCATTTTAAATTGAATATATTTTGAATTTTAATAAAACATCTAATAATGATTAATTATCTTGTTTCTATTTCTACATAAGAATTGTATATAATTTGCTTTAATTATGCAATCCAAAATTATTTAAACATTAAAGTAATTAAGTTATAACTGATTTTTCAGAAATGAATCTTCTCTATATCAATTCTTTAAAGTAAATACTATTTGGTATATTATCTCTTTATTCTTTTAAAGTTTAATCATTATTTATAAAAGTATCAAGATCTTTTAGTAAATTATAAGAATTGTTAGACTCTTATTAAAGACGTAAATTCACTGTGCATATTTAAATTAAGAATTATATATAGATTTCTATTTAATTCCAATATCTTTCTATTAATTAATCATGTTTATTTTGTTAATTCATAACAAACTTAGTTAAATATTTCTAAGCTTCTTATAGTTCTTTACAAAATAATCTTAGAGTACTATATTTATTCTCATATAAGACATTCAGATCTGTTATTATTTATTGAGCCTTTTAAAATATTTCAGCATAGTTTAATTCCTTTACATTTATTTATTTTAATTGTTCATATTCATTTTAACTATATAATATAAATTAATCATTTATTTCCTGAAGTAAAGCAAATCCAAATTTAATCATCTCTTAAAATGATAATACAAATTTTAAATCTTTTTATGGTTCTAAATCTATAAGAGCTAAATTTTAATATATTTTTTCATGTTCCTATTATTAAATTTATTATAAAAGTGCTAACCATTATAAAGCATTGTAAAATAAGCTCATTTTTTAATTTAAATCTTAATTCTACTAAACCTATCTTATTGCTTATAATGATACAAATATATAATCCAATATTTTTTAAATGTGTTACTATTTTTTAGATATTGTAAATAAATATTCCAAATAAGTATTATTAGGTTTCTAATTATTTAATTATTAATCTAAAAGTTAATTAATTGTTTCATCTAATTTCTATTAAAAATTATTTATCAATTAAGTAATTCTATCTTATATTGATAATTATGGATCATATAATGGAAAATTTTCATGTAAAATCTTCAAAAAAGTTTCACTTTCAATAATAGTCTAATTCTTTTAGTTTTATTCTTATTCAGGTTAATTCTTTATATCAATTTAGATTTATTAATTAATTACTTAAGTTTCTGAATTTTCACTTTTCAATTCTGATTCAAATAAAAGATCATCTAAATCATCTTCATCATCAGATATTCTTCCATTAAATATCATATCTACAATCATTGAAGGTTCTGGAATTTCTACTCTTTAAATTGCTTTTTTAGCTAATTTTTAATTAATTCCCATTTCACATATTTTATCTAAAATCAATTTGATTTCTGGTCTATCAAATATTGATTTCTTTTATTCCTTTACTTCATTACCTTATAATAATTAAATAAGTTCCTTTTAAGCAAGTACTTGATCTTTTGATTCTTAACCTCCTAATTTACGAAAATCTTAAATTTAAGTATCTTTCATTAAGTAAAATCTTTGGATAAGTTATTCAAATAGATTTTTTAATTGGCCTTCACAATTACTTTAAAGTAGTAAATCAATCATTTATCTAAGTAAATTAGTTTAGGAAAGTATTAATTCATTTGATACTTACTCTAATTATTATGGATCAATAATGCAATGATCTGACAATTAAATTTTATCTAAAAGCATTTTTCTAAATATTGATTATTTAATGATATTATCAATATGTAAGTTAAGAGCTTCAATAAAACTAGGTAGTATCTTTTTAATTATTTCTTATTCTTTATTATTATTATATTATAATCTTTAAATACTATCTAAATATTTCATCATATCAATTAAATCTAAATAGAAAGACTTATTTTAATAACATATAAATGTAAATGATATAGGTTAATTTTATTATTCTAAATTTTAAAATAGATTTAAAAAGAATTTAAATGATTTAAGAATATCTTACATATAAGTAACATGTGATATTAATTTTAATCCTTAAGATTCTTTAATTTATTGATATTTTTCATTAAAATTAATAAAAAATAATTAGGTTATTTCTCCATACTTTTTTATAAGAAATTCTTTTTATTCTGCATTTGCCTATTATTATAATTTATTAATTAAATCTAAACATGACTCTTAAAGAGGTATTAAATTATCTTTACTAATTCTTCTTCTGATTTAAGAATCTTCATCATAACTACTTTAAAATTTTTGGATCTAAGATTTTGTTGCCATAAACATCATAATAGATTCATGAAATCCAGCATGTTATGATGATAAGAAATATATTTACAATAATTAAGGAATTAATAAATTGATATCTTAATGTTATACTCCTCCTTAACTTACACACATCTTAATTAAATAATGTATTAGATGAAAACGACTCAAAATATAAAACCCTCTATAAGTTTAAGGTGAGATATGCTTAATTATCTTTCTAAAAAAGTATTTATAGCTCATATGAACTGATAATGCATCATAATCAACTAATTTTCCTATATCTATAATTTTCTGATCTCCTATAATCATATAATTTTATGATATTAGATCTAATTCTTTCCATAAAGAAGTAAATGGATTTAATTTATTTTTTTTACATAATATTCCTACATAATGTTCCACATACTTGTCTTTATTTTTACTTCCAATTAGAATTGGACTCATAATTATTTTCTCTAAAGCTTCAACAAATTTTTAGTTTTTTAATAATGAATTGAATAATAAATCTTTTTGTCTTTAAGCCTCTTCTAATTGTAATTCTTCATATCCTTAAAATTATTTATATGATGATGATTTCTTCTCTGGTTGTAATTACATAAACAATTACAATAAAGCTTGAAGACTCTTAGAATATCCATAAAATGATGATAACTTTTCTTAATTACTTACAATATCTTCAATTTTATCTTTACTCAAATCAACTAATTAAGATATTGATACAAAGGTATTTTCAATTACTTTTTCAATCTATTTTTTCGCTAATAGACTTTGACTATATAACATAATTATCTTTTTAGCAAAGTCTTCACTTACTGTAGGATCATGCAGAAGTTCTATTGATGGTAAATAACATTTATCAAATATCTATTTGATTAAATTATCTTATTTTTATTGATCTATTTCATTATTTGATGATAATGCTAATGAAATAGCTTATTCATTTGTACTAATAGCAATCAACAAATTAATTATTGTTACTATCAAATGAGATCCTCTTGAACATATCTTTAATAGTTCCATTATTCTTTTAACTAAACATTATAAACTATTATTTTCATAAAATTCTCTAACTCTACCTGGATTTTCTCCCATATTCATAGCTAATAAAGTTATTAAATATGTATATAATTATTCATTTAATTAAGAATTATGCAAACTATCTTCCAATATCTTATTTGACCATATATCTGATAACAATTTATGATATCTTTCAGGAACAGGCATCATAAATTCAGATTAAGCATTTTAAATTTATACTTAATCAAATTCTTATTTATAATAAGCAATTAATTGATTAAGTAATTAAAATCCTCTAATTTAAAGTTAAAGTTATTATTTTCTACAACAATTTTTTAAGATTTCAAATAATCCTTATATGATTTATGTTTCTAATTAATAATCTAATTATTAATTTTAATTATTTCCAGGAAGTTCAATTATCAAATTTACAGAATAAGTCAATAACGGATTCAAAAGATGAAATGGTAATCTAGTTGATCCATCATCTAAAAATGATTTCTTTATAATTTAAATTATTATAGAGTTCCATTATTAATAATTGGGCTATTTCTTAAAGATTTAATTGAATTATTAATCTAATAATTGTTAAAAGAATATCTATTAAAATTTTGGACTTAATGATAATTTAATTTCATAGAAACTACCTTCTACAATTTATAATTCTTGTTTCCATTCCATCAATGAGTCTTAAATTCCTTATAATTCAAATAACCATAACTTTTCTAAAAATGAATTATGTTCATATAGTATCATTTATTTTGATTTAATAAATTGAAGACTTTATACTAAAATATCATTTAATGATTCTTCTTTATTGATAGCTATTATTCTAATTAATAGAAATAGATAATCTTTTTAATCTATTAATCTATTTGTTATATCTAACATTAATTTATTATTAATTAATTGAAGTTCTTAAAAAACACATCTAAAATGAAAGATATAATTGCTAATAAACATTTTCTATATTAATAGTTCAGTTCCAGAATAATGACATAGTAATCGAATATAGATTTAATCAAATAGTATGCTATCTTTATGAAGATTATTCTCCTTAATTATTTAAAGAGATTATTCATAAGGGTTTTTAGTAGAATCAAATTATACTTCAAGAGTATAAGGTGGATATTTTAAGATTTTTCGAAGATTGCTTAATTCTAAATATCTTTGATAATTTATCATATCATCTGTAGGGAAAATGAACTTTAAAATACAATGATCAAATTAGAGTTGAAATAATTCTTATTAATCTTAATCACTTAAATTATATATGCTCTTTTAGAAGAATGAATTGATGTACATGAATCTTAATAATATTCTCTCAAAATATTCAACTAAAGATATAAATAAAATTTTTATACTTTTAAATTTACAAGCTTTAGATGTATTCATGGATTCTAATAGAAATTACATACATTGTACAATTTTATAAATTTTTGATAAATCGTAATCAGGATTGTGAAATATCAAAGTAATCAGATGTTCATAACTGAATATCATATCGACTTTCTATAAAACATAAATAAATACCAATTTTAGAATTGCCACAAGTCCTAATAAAATCACAACACTATAAACACAAATTCCAAATTTAAATAGAATCACATTCTCCAATCAATTCAATGGATGGATTTTAATTTTATTCCTAGAATAAAGCAACTCCTGCTTCCAATATCTTGTCAATTGTTTCACTAATAATGCGAATGTATTTAGGATCTTGCAATTATTTACATTTAGCAAAGTCTGAAATTCTATCTATTAAGGGTTTGTTAGTATTTTCAATCCAACTGTAATCTTCAGTGTCATTTTGCTTTTGTTTCTTAAATCGCTTCTCCATACTTTCATAATAAGCCTAGGGTATTCTCATCTTTAATTAAATTAATAAAATATGTTTTTAATATTTATAAGGTTATTTTTACTTAAAAATTTGCATCTTTGCATATAGAAAGCATGATGATCATAAAATTTAAATATTTTTATGATTAGTAATATTATTTAAACAAAGAAAAAAGACATTAATTATTTCTTTAAGTATTATTCATTTAAATTAATGTTTGATATGTAAGCATTAATTAATGAGAAGTTTTGTATTAGAAATTATAGAATTAATGTTCAATTTTGATTTGATTGAACTTGAAAATGTGTTTGTTTTTTATGAAATCAAATATCTTATTCGATAAGTTCATCATTAGTTCCTTCTTCTTATTATTCTTTTTTGAAACAATACTCTTATTCTATCTATTATATAATTTAATTTATATTTTCTATTGCCTATTCATATTTTAAAAGGACTAATGGTTAGTTTTTATTTTATTTAAGTATAGTACTAATTTCATTCTTGAAATCGTCTAAATCTCTAAGCACTAATCATATTGTCTATTTCATTACTTAGATTAATAGGATTCCCTTCATTGTCGAATTTATAAAGAGGATTAATCTATGGCTAAGTAATATCTATTAAAGATGATATTCTAGATTCAGTAGTAGATTCAGTAGAACCTGTTTTTAGACTTTAGAAGTCTTCTCTCATTTATACTTCATCTAAATTTTCATTGAATTTCATTCCTCCATTTGAAATTATCATAGAACTATTGAGAAACCAAAGTGATTTTTTTTATAATTCACAGATAAATGTTGAATTTTTGTTACTTAAAAATTTCTATAAATAGTAATTATAACACATGAGATTTGATATATCGAAAAGAGGTGTGATTATTTTTGTTATTAATTATTCTATTGTAAATGCTAAAGGCACAACTTTTGTGAAATAAATGAAAGAATCATCTTCTTTTTAAATAAGAAACTCCATCTAAGTCATATCTACTGGAACTACTAAATTAGGCATCAAGTCCTCAATCTCATTATTTGTCATAAATTTAAGGTTTCCAAACATAGTTCGTACTAAATATGATTCTTATTTATTCATTGTATATAATGGAATGCATGGACCTAAATTTCACCATATTCTTTTTGTTTACCTCCTTTCACTTGTTCTTATAGGAACTCCCAAAGAGCTTTACTTACGTAATGAGCTTAATTACGCTTATCAACTTTTAGAATTTACTCTTATGAGTTTTATTGTATAATTATTGGTTTTATAGGTTGTATATTGAATTCTCTCTTAAAATTGTTCAATACGTTATTTAATTACATTTCTTCTTCTTAGCAAATGCTATATAGTTATAACAATAAACTTATACCAAAGTGTATAGTTATCAATTTTAGAGAAGTTAGGATTGAAATTAAATAAATCATCTTAAAATTATTCATACCTTAACTTTATTAATATTAGTTACCATTTCCTACAAATAGCAAATATTTAAGGTCCAGAAAGATCATTTCCTATGGTAAGAATTTCATCGATTATATTCATTTATTTTTATATTTTTATATTTTTACACTTATATTTTGTTTATTATTTTACCAATCCCATATTAAACATTTCATGATTAACTTATCGAGAACATTACTAATTCATAATTTCTTAAATTTAATAAATAAAATTGTCATAAGTTCTGATAGTTTTTTCAATATGTAAATAAATATGTAAATTATTAGTGACTTTTTCTTATTGATTTAATATTAATATTAAAATTTATATCATATTAAATATATTAAATGTAAGGAAAAATAATAATTTTTAATCAAAGTTAATATTTAAATATCCAAATCAATTATTCAATAAATAATTCTGTCATAAATATTTTGTAATTTTCGTATAAACCATAAATTTATTTGATATTATTAATAATCGAATATTTAAAATAAATATAAATAAAGATATTATTAAAACCATTAAATGATTATTAACAAATACCTTAACTCATTTTATTTTTTTTAATCAATAATTAATTTATTACAAATAGCTTTTTTATCTTATGTATAATTTCCTCATCCTTATTTATCTTACCAAAAATAGATTAAAATTTAAATTTGTTCACTTTCCTAATTGTTAAAATACTCTCATAAAGTATTTCTATACTTTTTTGATATTCATATTTATTATAATCATAATAAGATGATTTTACTTTTGTTTCTATTATTCTTTACTCTTTAATGTATTTTGATATTATTCTTTGACAATTTTTAATATCATTGGAAAAGAAGTATTATTTATAATTGAACTTATAAGAAATACATTTATTGAATTATGATTAATTGAAATATATTCATTGACTTTTTTTCTGAAATTAATATATTTTATAAAATATTTTATAATAAATAATGGTTATTGTAAAATTGTCTAATCAGACGATTTTTTTATTTTTTTATTGTTTATTCACAATTATTTAAGATATAATAATTAATCTTATTATAATTAAATATGATTTTGCTCAATTTTATCCTAAGAGATATAAAATTTAATAATTATTTCTTTTTAGATTTAAGTTAAGATTTGCACAAATTTTTATAATAGTAAAAATAATTGATAAATTGATAATAATTAGGAATAAATAAAATAAGATGGCTTATTATTTAAAGACTCTTTATTTTATTGAAATTTTATGATGTATAAATAAATAAAACAGAATACCTGATTCATTTTGGTTTTCTGGAAATATATGTAGTATCTAAGATATTTTCGAAAATCAAATAAAATATGTAAACAACATAATTAAATTTATCTAATAATGAACGACTAAATGGATATAGAATACGATCTGTTTGAATTTTAAGGTTTATTAGGATAAGGATCTTTCGGAACTGTGCTGAAAGCGTTTAATAAAAATACAAAATAAACAGTAGCTGTGAAAGTATGTTATTAAAAAACTTAACTTATTGTAGGTAATTAAGAAAAAATAAATGTTATAATATGCGTAACTAATGTAGGAAGCACAAATTTAATAAGAATTATAACATCCCAATATTGTTAAATTTTTTGGAGTTTATGAGACTGAAAATAAAATCCTTATAGAAATGGAACTGATATGTGGAGGTAAAAATGTTATACAATATAGGTTCATTAAGTTCAATAACAAAATGTACAGAAGAATAAGCAAAATATATAATGTATTCAATTTTTAATGCATTACAGTATATGCATAACAACAATATTGCTCATAGAGATTTAAAACCTGAAAACATACTTGTTACCCATGATCTCAGCTTTGTTAAGGTGACCGATTTTGGATTAAGCACAGGATACTCATCATTGATGACTAAATAATGTGGAACACTTATATATATGGCTCCGGAATAATTAAATAATAGGATATATAATAAGGCGGTAGATATATGGGCAGCTGGAGTTATTATGTATTAACTACTTGTTGGTGAACATCCATATTATAAAAAGGGATGTGATGTTGCTTAATCTCAATTAACAATGCATGAAAAATGCAAGAAGATTTTGAATGAGTATTGATAAATTAATTAATCTAGAGTAAGTAATTCAGTCTATTTCGAAGATTGACTGAAATAAATCCAACAAAACGATATAGTGCTACATAGGCTATGTTACATCCTTGGTTTAATAATGGAAGTGATGAACCATTGACTATGGAAGAATAATTTTAATAGTGGAAATAATCTCAAAAATTCCAAAATATCATTTTACTTTTAATGTTGTTAAGTAAAATAGGCTACAAAAAGGTATTACATAATAAAGAACTATATTATTAAATTTCAAAGAACTTAAATAATAAAAAGAAATAAGATGTTATGAATAATTATGACTAATTATTTGCTGAATACTAAAAATCATTAACAGATGCTTAAAAAACTAAAATTTCCACTGTAGTTCTTACACCAAGAATAGAATAGAATAATGAAAATAGCGGACCAAGTATTTTTCAGTCTTCATTAATTAAACCTTTTAAGTTATAATCTTAATTTGGTAAAAATGATGCAACAAGAATTATCAATACAAATTCGTAAGTTTAAACTCCTTTAAATGTTTATGATAATGATTTAGATTAATAAATACAATTTTCTAAATAATCTTGTATCATAAAGGATAGATTAGACAAATAGAATATTCGTCCATAAGCTATGATTCAATCTCAACCTACTAAATTAACATCTAATCTATCTGAAATTGATAGTAATACTCAAGATAATGATACTCAATAATAACAACTAGAGAAATAGTGTTAGTAATCGACAGCCACAAATACAACTAGTGCAAGTCCAACTAAATCTCCTTTAAAAAGAAAAAGAGTAAAAAGAACATAAATTAAATAATATCTTAATGAAGAGATCGTTTAATCTAACTTATAATAATAAATATCAAATAACACTCAAAAACAATTATAACAATAATAATAATAACAATAATAACAATAATAATAATAATAATAATAATAATAATAATAATAATAATAATAACAATAATAATAATAATAACAATAATCAACAACTAATGTAATTAGACAACAGTCTCCTTCACCAAAAAATAAATTTAAGATTCAATTAAAACCACTTAATCATTAATAATAACCTATAAATTATAATTCTTAACAAAATGGAAATCAGTCCTTACGTTTAAAAGCTTAAAAACTATCAGTTGATAGAGAATTCTTTGCTCCTCCAGTTTTAGATTTAAGTAATTTAGCACTTGAATGTTTGAGTCCAAAGTATCGAAAAACTCGTACAAATAGTTTGCATTATTAAAAAAGAGTCTATGCTAATGAATTTTAACCATCTAGGATTTTGGGTGGTGCTTACAAAAAGAATTACGATTCGTTTTATATGAAATGAATTCTTTTTACAACTAAAATTCTTTTAATAGTTTTTTTTATTTAATTGCTTTTTTAAGTTTTATTTAAAATTTTATTTAAATATTAATTCTGAATATATAAATTCATAAACATAAACAATAAAATTTCATATTCAAAATTTTGGACCAGCATTAATAACTTCTTATGTTGCTTTATCTTCATATTTTTTGAAGTTAATCTAAAATTTCTCAGCTAATTCAAGAACTTATTTATCAAATTCTTCAGGATTTCTAAAATATATTAATATCTTACTTCCATGTATTTCTTGGGTTCAAGATTTATGTTGGAATGTTTTTAGCTGATTTGGGGATGGCAAAATTGAAAATTGGGAAGTTTTCAAACTCTACATCTTTTAATTCTCCAGTATGAATCAAATCAATAATTCCTCTAGTATATTTTAATGACATTCTTTATCCAACTCCATATTTACCACCTGACCAACCAGTGTTGATTAACCAAACTTTGGTATCATATTTCTTTATCTTTTCAGCCAACATATTAGCATAGAGAGTTGGATGAAGAGCTAAAAATGCTTCTCCAAAACATGCTGAAAATGTAGCTTATGGTTCTTTAACACCAACTTCAGTACCAGCTACTTTAGCAGTATATCCTGAAATAAAATGATACATAGCTTATTCTGGTGTTAACATAGAGACTGGAGGTAAAACACCATAAGCATCACATGTCAAAAAGAATATATTCTTAGGATGATCTCCTTAAGCTGGGAATTTAGCTCCTGGAATATATTCTAATGGATAACTGACTCTTGTATTTTCTGTAATTGAAATATTTGTGAAATCGACTTCTCTTGTTTCTTCTGAATAATATTCAATATTCTCCAAAACAGCTCCAAATCTTACTGCATTATATATTTCAGGTTCTTTTTCCTTTGAAAGATCAACACATTTTGCATAACAACCTCCTTCAATATTAAATATGCCATTGTCAGACCAAGCATGTTCATCATCACCAATAAGTCTTCTTTTGGGATCAGCACTTAAGGTTGTTTTACCTGTGCCACTCAATCCAAATAATAAGGTAACATCTCCATTTTCACCTTCATTAGCAGAACTATGTAATGTGAGTATTCCTTATTTGGGGAATAAATAATGAGTGACTCCAAAGACTCCTTTCTTCATTTCACCAGCATATTAAGTTCCTAAAATGACCATCTTACGTTCAGTCAAATTAACAGCAACACATCCTTCTGATTTAATTCCTTCAATTGGTTTCTAAATTGTTTATGGACCAGCATTGAAAATGTAAAAATCAACATCTCCACTGAAATCCTTTTTAAGTTCTTCATCAGTTGGTCTGATTAACATATTCTTCATGAACAATGCATGATAAGGTCTAGTGCAAAATACTCTAATTCTTAATCTATAATTAACATCCCATCCAGCATATCCATCAATTATGAACAACTAAATGATTAAAATTATATGGTTACTTTCTCTCTGTTATTTAAATACTCAAGAGCAATCTTTTCAACCTCATTATAAGAGTCTTGGCTCAAAGCAATATTTACATCTCCCCACCAAACATCTCTTTCTGTGACTTCATCTTTTATGATTCTCTTATCCTTAGGAACACGACTAAATCATAGAACAATATTAGATACCCGCATTTCTTTCCTGAATATGCAACCAAAGCTCCAGTGTTATTTATAGAATCTGGTCTAACAGTTGGATCCTCACTTATTGGTTAAGACATTGAGAGCTCATAGAGGAGAGGAACACTAGGGTTTCTAAAGACAGTTGCATTACGAAGTCCCCATTTTGTTAAGAGTTCTTAGGCTTAGACTGTTTGATTTTCCATAATTAAGGAATTTTATTTATGACGATTTCATTTCTATATTTAGAACTTAAATATTACGTATTTATATAAGAATTCCTATTAAGTCAAATAATACGTAATCGAGTACTCAAATTATACACTTCTAGAAACATCTCTTTTTAATTAAGTTTAATAATTTGATGACGAACCATTATGATAAATAAAACAATTAGTGTTATTACTCCAATTACAATATTTCACTATAAAAAAATCATCCCTTTTTAAACATTTCTTATATTCCAATAATTTCAAATGAAGGCACTTTTTTCTTATTGAGTCTTTTATATACTCTAAACGATACTTTTCTTGTCATTTATTTTTGGTAATCTTCATTTTTTTTTTTAATAGTATAGATGTCTCTAATACATAAAATAAATGGGAGAAATATTATAATTTTTAAGTATATATTATAGATATATATATATATTTACTTTAAGGGTTGAGTTTAATAAAACCATGATAGACAATACATTAGAGGAATTGATTTTAAAAACACTTTATATTTACGAATAAATTTTATTTATTTACAAATAGTCTACATAAACAAGGATATTATTGAATTACTTAGTTTAGATTAGAATTGTTAAACTAAAAGCTACTATCTATTTTTAGAGCTTTTTTTATTAAGAAGTGTTAATAAATTAGATTATAGAGCATAAATAAAATTAGAATAAAATTATAATAAAAATTAATATACTATAATTAATCAATATTATATATATTATGCATCAAAGTTCTGCTATCATTTACCTTCTTATATAGAATGATTTTCTCTATTTATATACTCTTGTACTATTTTTTCAAGTATTACATGTTTATAACCTTGTGAATAAGCTAACGAATATAAATTATTAATAACTAAGATGATCAGTCTAACTGAGGTTTAGTGCTATTTGAAATCAAAGAAGTAGCCAAATTTATGTAATGGTAATTCAGTTATATTTAAAAAAGAGATTTATTTTTCCTCTATATAACGTTTAAATGATCTTTTGAACTTGTAGATTAAATTAAATTTTCAGAAGTTCATATCAATGTAGGAAAAACCAAACAAATTTTTATGTATATTAAGGCCAAAAAATGTTAATTTATTAAAGAGGATATTATATAGGTAGAGTAATAGAATAATTATAATAGACAATAATCAAATGCCATTTTAAAAGTAGATACTTTTAATGTTACCATCAGTTAACGTGTTTTGATAATACCAATCCTTTACTATTTACAATTAATGTTAGTTTTTGTTAACCAGGATTATTTAGTATGTTACTTTTTTAATCCTGTTTTGAAATTAAATCTTAAATTATAGACAGAAAAAAATAGAAGGTTAATATTAATTTGCCATTTATTTGGGGAATTCCATTTAGAATTATAATCTAAATCAGATTAAGCAGATTAAATAATATGATTAATACATATGGAATCAATTTTCATAAATTTAGTAGTATTAAAGGTTAAATAATTCTAAGAAATGGCAGAGATATTTTTGATTATGCATAATTACTAAAATTATTGATATTTTATAAATAGTTATTCATAATTTCTTATTTTTAATTCAATAAGTTTGTTATACAAATATTTTAACGTAAAATTTCTATTATGAAGTACTTAATATAATGAATATTAAGAAGTCTTAATTCAGATATATATTTTAATTTGTTAACAAACTAATATAAGTCTTCAATAATATAAAACTTCATTAATTAAAATCTGTTAAAGGAAACCATTTGAAATATGCTTTCTTATAGATAAAATGAGTCAAAAAAACCCAAAAACTTTCACTTAACTAATAATTTAGAGACTTCTACGATATCATGTAAATCAAAGAATTCCTTCAAAGATCTAAGCGATTATAGAAGTAAAATTTTACTAAAAAGAAGATCGCACTCCTGTAGAGAAAACATTAAACCTACATTAAAATTAAGAGAGCGTTACTAAAATTAAACAAATGCTTAATAACTTAGTATAAACCGATAATAAATCTTCAAGTTCTTTATTTGGATAAGGTCTTAGAGATAAATAAATATAAGACACTAAATCTACAAGAGGAGATAGTATTTGTAATATTGCAATTTAACTTAAGATTCTAGAAATGCTTCAACCTCTGGTTATGTAAATAAGAATCCATTAAATAAAACAACCAAAACTAACGATTCTTTTTTCAAATAAAATATCCCTGCCCCATAATCAACTCGAGAGTCTAATTAAAATAATGGTAATCTATCAAATCTATATTACATGTTTTAAAATAAATAATCTGACCCATAAATTAAGCAAAATAATTTAACATTATCTTAGTTAGCAAAACAATAATAATAATAATAATAATAAAAATAATCTTAATAATAAAGAAATAGTAATAACACTACTCCTTAAAAATCTGGAAATAATATTAATAATAAAAATATTTCATCAACTGAATATCTCAATCAAATATAATAACTTAAATTAAAAATTGATAATAGTTTATAAAGAAAACCTGTATAGAAAACAGAAAAATAATAAAAATCCAATAATTCTTAATTGATTAAAAGTATCTCATCTTAGATATTATAAAAATAATAATAAGATGTTAATCATGGAGTAAAGAAGGAAGCAATTCAAGAAAGAGTATTTTAATTATTACTTGAAAAAGAATAATTATGGAATCAAATGAATACTTCATTAGATAATATTAACTAAAATTAATTAAATTAACTATGTTAGTAGATCTAGTAATCTTTAAATTCCCTTTTAGATCGAAAAAATGTATTCATTTTAATAATTATTAGAGCGAATACTTATCTAAAATAGATATGAATATCATTGATACATTCTTATTAGAATCTTACACAATACTTATTATAGCACTAGAATATCTAAAAACTTAACAAATTTTTGATTAAAATTTAAGAAATCTAATTGTTTATGTTGCTCAAAGTAATTTTTACATATTATAATCAATTTTTACTTATATTCCAAATGTAATATTTTATTATATTTCAGGATACATTGAAATAAAGAATTGATATGAGATAAATTTAATAAAAGAAACCATAAAACAAAACTAAATAAACTTTATAAAAAAACAATTTTATAATCAAATCTATACTAGAATTAATGTAAGTAAATTATCAATAATAGGAATTGACGACACAAGTCACCCAGAGATATATTCTCATTTAGGATTTAATTCAACTAGTTTAGATGTTTATTTTGTTTAACAAAAGAAAATTCTTCATTAAATAGCAAAAGAAATAATCTAAGATGAAAATCATAATAATTTGAATTGTAAAAAACCATCAAAACTATTTGAAAAAACAAACAAAATGTTGTTGCCCTTAAAACCATCAAAAAATTACACATTAGTTTTAGATCTTGATGAGACTCTTGTGCATTATTAGGAAGTATTTTTAGATTAAAAATAAAGCTTCCTAATGGAGGAGGATAATTTTTAGTTAGACCATTTGCAGAAGAATTCTTAGAAAAATTATCTAAATATTATGAATTGGTAATATTTACAGCTGCTCAACCAGATTATGCTAATTTTATTATTGATATAATTGATAAGTAAAAATTAGTGACTGCAAGACTTTATAGAGAACATACTCTTTTTAAAAATAATACATACCTTAAAGTAATTTAATAAATATATGTAGGATTTATCAATTTTAGGTAGAAGTTTGGAAAGAGTTATTATAGTTGATAATATGCCAGATAATTTTTAATTATAACCAGAAAATGGTATTTACATTTTGAGTTGGACAGGTGATTAAAATGACCGAGCTCTAAAAGATTTAATGCCTTTATTGGAATGTATTAGTTTATAAAATTTAAGAAATTGCATTAAAAAAATGTAAAGATGTTAGAGATGCTTTAAATCAGTTTAGGGAGCAAATGATCTTAAAAGTTTAACAGGGTATTAAAAACCCATATTAAAATCTCTCCTTAGAATGAAACTTAATTGTGAAGATATTTTATGTTTTATTTATAAATTATATATTAACAATAAAATAATCTTCTTGTATCTTCAATTAAAAGATATATTAATTAAACTATAATTTGATATTCAAAATTAAAAAAAAAGACATAATGAAAGGATATAAAATTTGGTTATAATTAAAAAAGATAACATTTATTAAATTTGATTGTTAATTACTTATAAAGATTTTATTGGATTAAAATAAATACAGGCCCAATATAATAATGTTTAATGGATAGTGTTTAATTAAATTAAATTCTTAGTATAATGAAAATATATTGAGGTAAAACCCAAACTATTTAGTAATTTTATTACGATTTTGATTTATTGAATAATAAAATTAAAAAAAAAGCATTAGATAAAAAAATTTTAAGTATTATGAATCTAGTATTAGATTTTGATTTTAAGAAAATCTTTATTTTGCTAGTATTTACATCTTCTCTTATAAAAAACTAATTATTAATGTAATATCAAACTATATATGATATGTTAATATTTTCTTTAATGAAGAGTTCTAAAGATAAAAGAGTTCTAAGTTGACTTTGAAATCGTACATTGATATTTAGGGATTTCTAAAATTCTTTACCTTTATTTTCTAAAACTTAAAAAAAAAAGAATTAAAAAAAATTTAAATCTTTTTTAATGCCTCCCAAAGTTGACCCAAATGAAGTTAGATTGATTAACATCAAAGTATTTGGAGGAGAAGGTGGTCCAGCATCCACTCTTGCTCCAAAATTGGGACCTCTCGGTCTTGTAAATATAATTGCTTATTAATAAGAATCCAAAATAAGTCGGTGATAAAATTATTGCTGAAAGTGGAAAATGGAAGGGTATCAGAGTCATGGTTAACTTGAGATGCTAAAATAGAAATGCTGATGTTACAGTCATTCCTACCTCAAGTGCATTACTCATTAAAGAAATTGGAGTAATTAAATAATTAAAAACTTTTAGGGTTATGAGAGAGATAGAAAGAAGACAAAGAATGTTAAACACAATGGAAATTTAACACTTGAATAAGTCATTAAAGTTGCTAGAGCTATTGAAGAAAAATCATTAGCTAAAACATTCACAGGAACAGTTAAATAAGTGTTAGGAACTGCATAATCTTTGGGAGCCACAGTTGATGGATAACCAGTAAAAACAATTATTGGAAGAATTAATTCTGGAGAGCTTAAAGTTGAAAAATGATAAATAAAATATATTATACATATAAGTACATTAACTTGATATTTTTAAATATGAATTTTATAAAATATTAGATTATAATTATAGATTTATGTTATCATTTAAAGAATTATATATAATTTATAACAATAAAAATAAATAAGTAATTGGAATTAGATATTAATTAAATTTCACTTAAATTATGTTAATATAAAGATATCTAGTATCATTTAGTATAGATATTTATTATATTAATGGTAAGATATTTTATATAATGTATAATTTTTATGATATTAAAATTAAAGTTCTAATATTATTAAATATATTAAATTAAGATTAGATTATAAATTATTAATAATAAATAATTAAACCTTTTTTAAATATATAATCAAATATATGGTTAATTGTATTAATGAAAAGATTCACAAGAATTTTCTAAAGATGTTATGATAGTTTATGTTAATTGTTATCTGAAATTTAGAATGTTAAAAAGGTTTTATTAATTATTAGAATATTTGAATAGTTTAAGTTTATTTGTATTTAATATAAATAGATATATATTGTTAATTAATATAATATATTTTAAGGTAATTATATATATTAAATTTAAATTTATTTAATATGAATTATATAATATATAAATATGAAAATTATATCATTTCAAATTATCATTTGAAGATTTTTCAAAATAATCTTTTATCTGAAATTCGAAAATCCTCTTAAGTTCACTTATATTAGATTATAGTTAAGGTTTAAATTTTGGAGGAGATAAGAGCTATTTTTCTTAGTAATTTAATTCTTATTTAGAAAACAGATTTTGAAAATATGATATTTAAGATGAAATGTTAATTCTATTTTTAAATTTAGTTGTGATTTCAGAAATCTCCTTAAAATCTTTGATATTTATACCATCTATTTATGCCTTTTAAATTTGTTAATTAAAGCATTATTTTGATGATAAACTATCTAACTGCTTAATTATATCATCAGTTGAATTTTATAAAGTTTAATTAATTGTATTCTGAATTGACTCATAATTATACTCTGTATTCTTCAGAATTAACTCTTGCTTTAATTATTATTTTCTTATAATTTTCATTTTTCTTGTACTATATTATAGAATAAAATGATTACTTATCATCCACCATTAATACAACCACATTTTATTTTATATTAATTTATCTATCTCGCCTTTCTTTTTTATTAATTCTACCCTCATTTTTATATATTCTGTAAATAGCTTTTATAGTTGATAAATTATGTCCTGTAAGTTGAGCAATCTATATTATAAATTTATCAATACTTAGATGGCAGAATAATCATTTTCCAAAAACATTTTGATTATATTTTATCTTTCATCTGAACTAATTGAATTATATTTTTGCCTTTTAGAATGTTTAAGACTTAAGTTTATCATAATATTTAAAAGAAGTTAAATAATAAGATTTAATGAATATGTTTTTAATGAAATTTCTTTTACTCATATAAATATGTTTCTGGAGTAATTTTTAGAAATTGATTTAACAATCATTTGTTCTAAAGAATACTTAAATTTCTAAATTCATCTATTCTTTTTAAATAAAACATAAAATTTGTAAATATTATCTTAAGAAATCGAACATAGAAATAACTAAAACAAATATAAGATATAATTTAAATATATTATAATATAAAATTTACTAACTTATTAAATCAAGTTCAAATGAATAAAATATAATAAAACTTTAAAAACTCTAATTCTTAAAAAAATAATGATATTATTGAAAACTCTTAATAAAATAAATTAATTAAGGTATTTAAAATATACATATTTAATTATTATTAATTATTTTTGAATAAGTTCATATTCGAGTTTTGCTTAATTATTAAATTTTGAATCTAATATATTTTTCATATATTATTATTATTTTTTATAATTCTAAATGGATTCAAAAATCTAATAATAATTATATGATATTTTAATATATATTTTAATATATTTTTATTAAATAATATTTCAAATGCTCAAAAAACCATAATAACAAAATTAAGAATACCAAATCAAACCAAAACCTAGAGAGAAATTCAAATCTTCTAAATGTAGAGAATTAATTTAAGAAATATTACAATAAAAATTAAAAACAGGATCATATTAGGATGTAACAACTCAATCCAAAGACATTGCTGAGAACATTAAAAACAGATTAAAATAACAATATACTGTTACAAGCAGATATAAGTTTATTGTACATGTGTTAATTGGTTAATAAAGAGGTAAATTTAAAACATAATTATATTATTTTAGGTTAAGGAGTGAGAGTAGGTTCAAAATGTTTTTGGGATTATGACACTGATATGTGTGTTTCAGAAACCTTCATAAATGATTCATTATTTTGTTTGGTAACAGTCTATGCTGTATACCTTTATTGAATTTATTATTAATGATATATAGTTAATTAATGTTGTGTGCCTCTAATTAGAGAATTATTAATTTAATAATGTAAAATAAATACAAAAAAGTATAGGACATTTATATTGAAATGGATAAAAAATGTCTTTTAGAATAAAATAAATATGAAACAAGATTAGGTTTATGTGAGATTGATGGACATAAGAAACATGCTGTGATTAAAATAATAGGAAATGATAATTAACCTGAAAGTTTAAGATAAATAGAGGCCATTAGAAATATGGCTGCTAAAACATAAATGTTTAAAGGTAATCCATATATAATTGAATGTTATTCTCGTTAAAGAACTTAAAATACTTTTTATTTTGCTTTCAAAAAATGTAAATAAAACATAATGTAAGTAACTTTGGATTTTTATGAGATTTTACATATGTTAGCATCTATGATATAATTATTAAAATTATTCTAATAGAAAGGTGAATTTCATGGAAATTTGAAACCTACTAATATTTTTTAATAAAAGAAATTAAATTCAACAATTTGTTTCTCTACTACAGATTTTTTTCCTTATTAATATTCTAATAGGATATTGGATGAATATATAGATCCAGAATTTGATAAAGATAGACCTTCAATTGCACATGATATATATTCTTTAGGAAAGGTTTGTAATTTTGTAATAAAGAATAGAAAATGTCCTTATTAAAATCTAATAAATCAAATGAATTGTAGTAAATAGGATAGAATAAAATTAGATTAATTAGAATTATAAGTTGAATAAATGATAGAAAAATATGAATAAAAAAGTTTAAGAATGGAATTAAATTAAAAAGGTATAACAGAGGAAGTCATTTAAAAAATAATAATGTAATAAGTTGAGAATTAAAAAAAGAAATAATTGGAATAAACTAAATGGTCAGATTTTGAATTAAATTAAAATGTAGATAGAGATTTTAATATAAGAGATAGAGCATAATTTTTATATTTAATGTCATAAGAAATTCGTAATTTATAATCAATAGATTAATTCTTATTGGATTGTTTAATTTTATCTTGTCTTTCAGAATCATTCAATACATTTTAAGAATGTTAAAAAATAACTTAAAATAAAAAATTGAAATAATTAGTAGAATCAGATTTAATATAGATGAACAAATATTTAAATATCATTAATTTGCAATGTGAAATATATATTTAAGATTTAATTCTAAAAGAATATGATGTTGGATTTTTTAAATAATATATCTCTATTTATTCATAACCTAATCATTTATTCAAAAAAGCTCTTAGTTTAGTGATGGAAGACATAATAAATAAAAATCTAACAAAAGAATTGTTATTAAATGATGAATTAGATAAATCAGATATAAAGGCATTAAATTACATTTTAGTATCAAATTAAATGAAATAAGACGTATGCTATGATTATAAAGGATTGCAATAATATATTCAATCTTAATTACAAGTAATATAATTATGAAATAATTCATTTTCTAACTTTTTTTATTTTTCTAATTTTCTATTTTATTCATATTATTTTAACTTCTTTATATAATCTATTATTAGAGTAAATCTTCTAATATTAAACAGTTATATAAATTTATTGCCTATTCATTATAATATTTTACTCAAAAAGATTAAGAAATATAATTAAACTTAGCTGTTGTAATATTTTTTATTTTTTTTCAGTTTAGTAATTATTTAATCCTAAAAGATGCTTAAGTTAAATAATTAACTTATCAGTCTCTTTTTTATAATTTTCTTATTTCTTTTTTTTTTTTCACTTTCTAAATCAATCATAAAAATCAAACTAAATTAAAATGATAGCATATAGTAAAAGTAAAAGAGAGAAACTTAAGGAAAAGATTCGTATTCTATAATATCCTGAGCAATTCAAGTCATAGATCCATCATAATTATATAGTTTTGGATGAAAAGTATTTGAATTTAGGTGGTAATTGTGTTATACTAAACATCCATAAGATTATGTATTAGTATTTGACAATCCAGATCATGAAGATTATAAGTACAAAGATAAATGCATTCAATTTCAGGATGTTTTACGTGACTTTGATAAAGTAAATAACTTCTTTAAAAAAAGTGTTTTGACGTTGATACATCATTTGAATCTCCAGATGAAGAATTATTAAGAATGGCCTTTTTGAATGTATTTAATCGACTTAAATAACCTCCTCCTGAATATAAAGAAATAGAAAGAGGCTTTTAAACATCAACATAAAACAAACAAAAATTATTTATTGTGAATGAACTTGGAACTTAAGTAAGAATTAAACCAGATGAAACTCGTTAAATGGGAATGGGAGGTTTCTTGAAATACAATCCATAAACAAATCATTGGGAGAGAACAGGAGAAAAGGTTTCTGATGTTGCCACTCTTTTTAGAATATTATTATTATACAAATTATCTATTCATGCAGGGTAACATAATTATTATATTCTAAATTTATAGGTTTTTTATTAGGTAATTTTTAAGTCTAGATGGTACTAAGATTTATGCAGTATTATTTTAAGAATTACGAAATCTTATTATAGAAGCATAAAGAACTTATTTGAAGAAGAGAGTAAGTATAGCATTTTGTGATATTCTTTCATTAGAACCAGTAGATGATGCGTATTAATATTTGAATAATTTAGATTTCGGCCTTTACGTTTTAATAAAGTAATAAGATCTAAGTTAAATGGATCAGATTTAATTTTTGAAACTCATTAAAAAGAAATTAGAAAACTATTAAAAATAATTGATTATAATAAATTAGCTAGAGAATGTAATTAATATCCATATGAAATATCTGGAGAGATATAATAATAAAGAAAATTGACAACTGATATTTTAAATGCTTATGTGTTTTATTTGGAATATGTTGCAATTGAATTAACTAAAGTAAGAAAGAAATATAAAGAAAATGATTTTGCTTAAATTCTTACATCCCAAGAATTGAAAGAATTGGTTGCTGATTTAAAAGAATAAAGTTTTAAATCAAAATCAACAAAATTTTATGTGAGAGATTAAAGTAAAGGAAATTGGAAAGATACAAATAAAAGAAAAATAAAGGTATTTTTGAAAAGAAAGATGGCTTTAGAAATTGAATAGATTTTATAGAAAGCTAAACATTAAACAGATAAATTATATGGTAGAAAATTATAGAGTATTTGGGATAGATTAGGTATGGAACCTTAAGGTCCTTATATTGAATATTTTTATCCAAGAAAAAAGTAGAATTATAATAAATTTATTTAATAAGATTCTATATGGACATATCAGATAATAAATGAAAAAGGAGAACGGTCATTATTCAATAAAATGGAAAGAGCAAAATTAAATACATCAATTTTAAAATAATTAGTAAATTTAGAATATTTAAGTTCATAAGATTATATTAGAGATCATCTAATACCAAATAGTTATTTTGATTTAGATGGATAAAAATACAAAGATGAACATTATTAACCATTAAAAAAAGCAAAATAATAAAAATAAGATTTATTCTTTTCTATGAAATTAATATAAACAGTTAAAGCTAAAATCTAAAAGTTTATATAAAAAGATGAAAATGATTAATAAGATAAAAAAAAAAGGATTTAAACAGAGGGTGGTTTAAATGGAGATAATTTATTAAATTTATGGGGATTATTGGATGTACCAGTATAACATATTTGTTCATATTATGGAGAGAGAATAGCATTGTACTTTATGTTTTTATAATTTTTTGTTTAAGAATTATTACCTATATCATATTTTGGAATATTAACATTTATAGTCTAATTACTTTATGATGTTGAAGCTTTAGCTAATAAAGTATCAATTATATTTTTTACAATAATGATTGTATTTTGGTCATCAACATTTTAAGCTTTATGGATTCGTTAAGAAATGTAATTTCAAACAATGTTTGGTTTGGAAGATGTTGAATTAAATTAGATTGAATTAATAGGATTTGTTGGTAAACCTAAAAGATCTATAGCAAATGATAAATTAAATGATCTTTAATATTCATCAAAAGAGACTTGGCTTAAATTCTTTTTTAATATGATATTGGTAGCAATATTTTTAGTGATTGAGATTATTATTATAGTTGCATTATAATTGTTATCCTTATATTTAGAAAAGAATCCAGATGTTCCTTATATTGAATTTATTGAATTATCTGTCTTTATTCCAGCTATAATTTGGGTTTTTATTGGAATTTTATTAGATAATATTTATAGACCAGTGGCATTTTTTTTAACAAAATGGGAGAATCATAAATATTTATCTTAATTTGAGACAAGTTTTATTATAAAAAGTAATAATTGAATATTTATAATAGATCTTTTATTTTCTACTGTGAATCGTTTAGGATAACCTTTTATAATAGCATTTTTTTATGAAGAAACTATAGGTTGTGTAAATGAGAATTATTGTTATTCACAATTATAAATTTATATGAGAGTTGTATTTATAATAGAATTTGGTAAACATATTTTATTTGGATTTATATTTCCAATAATAAAATAAATTTATTAAAGGGCAAGATATGGATTAGTAAGTATAGTAGATTTTGGAGATTCTTTATAAAAGAAAACACGTAAAATATATATTTATATATTTTAATAGCTTATTATCATTTCAATAAAACTATTGAAGCAGAAACTTAAAAGGAATCTTTTACAATTGATTAAGTTGATGGAACAATATGGGAATATTTAGAATTAAATTTATAATTTGCTTTATTAGCTAATTTTGGAAGTCCTTTTCCTTTAATTTTCATAACAGGATTAGCTATGAATTATTTAGAATTATTTTTAGATAAGTTTAAATTAATATGGTTAACAAAAAGACCAACACCATAAACAGCAAGAACAATAGGTCCATTTGTATATTATATGAATTTGATATCATATATTTCGATCTTTATCAATAGTGGATTACTATCTTATAGTAATTAAGATGTCTTTACTGAGATTAATAGTTTTACTTTATTTGTTATTTTGATGATCTCATTTTTTTTGTTCAAATTTGTTACTGATATAATTTATGGTAACACTGATAGTTCTGCTGAATTAGTAAGAAAAAGACAATAATTAATATAAAAAAAGTTGCATGTAAGTGTAAGAGGAAAGAATTAAATAAGTTCGAAATTACCATTTCCAATAGCTAAGATATATGGAACTCTTTTACCTCATTAATTGAAAAAGCAAGAATGATTATAATTAAATATCTAATGATTTAGAAATTTTAGAAATATTTTTAACCATAAATATATATATATATATATAAAAGAGAAAGAATTAATTAAAATGTAAAATTGATTTCATAACCCATAGTAAATAATTAATTAATTGATTTGCTCATTGATGAGCATCATCTCTACTTCTATAGGTTTAAGTTCTAATCTAAGTTTATCAGTGACATCTTTAAAGATACTAACCAGTTATTATATATCTATATTTTTTGGCAATTGAAGTACTATTTTACTAGTCATCTATAGTCCTTTTGTCAATAAATCTTCTAGAGATGGTTTCATACTATTAAGATCATATGGTTAATGTGAGTAATTCAATCCACCCCTATTTTTAATGGAGATAATACCATGGTGGACACATAATGAGAATGAAATCTTAATTAGTATGAGTATACTCGAGAAAATTCATCTAGATAACAGTTGCTATGGATTCATACACTTACAAATTATTTGTAATATTATTGATCTTTCTGAATTTATAAATATTGAATTTTACATTGGATCAATATCTATACAAATCACTGTTTTAAAACATTTTGCTAATTGAATAGCTAAACCTCCAGAACCACAAAATCCATCTATCACATCAGAATCTGGAGAACAACCTTTCAATTTATTTGCAATATGAATGCTCATCTCCTTTATTTATTATACAATATTCTACCTCTGGTATCACAGAATACCAAGATTCTTCATCTAATTATATACCCTCATTGAACTTTTTAAAAAGAAAGAACCGCTTACGATAGAACTTTTAAATCTATTTTGGTATGTCTATTGATATTCCTGGATGTAATTGACAAGTAAAGTTCTTTTTTGTGATCTTTAACTTCAAACTATCCAAAGAAAAGAACTCATTCAATGGATATCCCAAAATAGATAATTTGCGATGCACTACTTTCTAAGTCTCAATCATTTTATTATTATATATCATTTTATAATCATTCCACCCCCTACAATATTATTTTAACGAATATTTTTCTATTCATGTCAACATCTACCCAAAACACTTAGTCATTTAAGTTTCGATCCAAAATAAGGTATCTATTCTAATCACAACCCCAAAAGTTTCTTTTAGGAGACTCAATAGCCAACCAAAATTATCAAACATTATAAAGAAGAACTCAAAAATATATTAGATTATCTCTAAGAACGAGCAACTCTTATTCCCATCTCAAAACCAAATTAAACTATACTCTACATCCAAACCTATTACAAAATTGGTTACAAAAGCACATTTTGTGATGAAACCAAAGACCACTTTGAAAATTTAATTGAAGAAATTAAATTAAATATATTCAAAAAGTAATCATCATTATATTTATTATCTAGATATCCATTTATATCTATTATACATGAAAAACTTAAACAACATACTTAACATGACATTCATATATAATTTTAATAATAAAATGATAATCAACTTGTATTATATTCAAAACAATATTCCAAAGAATAATTAACACCTAAATTAATATGTGATCTTATTTGGATTTCTTTACATAAATTTAATCTTACAATCAATCTAGATTGCATTAATAAATATATTTAATCTTTAAAAGAAGATCAAAATTCATAAAATAATATCTTAGATGGAATCAAAATTACCATTCGCTAAAAAGAATCTAATTAAATTGAAAAAAATTCAACTCCAAAAAGATCAACACAAAATCTTCATTCTATTTTTAATAGCATGTCTAAAACTGAAACTCATAAACCATAAGATACATAAATTAAATCATATTATTCTCCTATTAAATCACAAAATATAATCAATCAAAATGTAATTAGATTATTTTCACAAACTTAAATTGTTAATTCAAATAATTAAGCTTAATTCAATGACTTAATATCAAATATCAATTATGAAGTTGAAGTAACTGGTAATTAAATTTAATCCGTTAAATAAGTTTTAAATCTTTAACAAATATATCAAGAAAATTAAGATAATGCTAATGTTTCAATTACTCTTAATAGAAGTGATCTAATCAAATGTATCATTAAAGCACCTGAGGATTCCACTGTTAATGTCTTCATTAACAATTATAATAGTAAAGTTCTATCTTATGATTATATTTAATCAGCATACATATTTTATGGTAAACAATAGGAAGAATATACAGTTGAAGTTATTAAAAAAGACTATTTTGAATAAAGACGTTCCATTTTCTTATAAGGAAATTCAGATGTCATAATTCAATTTGATTTAATAAGTTAAGTATAAACAACCATCAAATTTAGAGTATATGATTTAATACAATAAGATGAAAATAATCAAATAGATAATTGTAAATTAGAAATTACTAAAATTAATACATCAAATGAAGAACCTTTTATTGGTATGACTAATGATTAAGGCATTTTTATATATCAAGGAGTGATGTTCAATAAAATCAAAGTTTAAGCCTCTAAAAAAGGTTTTCTAAATATATCATATGAATTCGATGTTAATGCAAATAAAGCTGGAGAATTTTATTAAATTCCTATGATTCCTGATTATTATAGTTTGATCAACTAATATCATATTCTAATTTATATACCAAATTCTAATAATTATTAGTTAGATTTTAATATGATTTGTTCAGGTATTTAATTTATTTAACTATTTAGATGGTATTAAATTAAATACCAAAAATAGAGTTCATCAAACTATGAAATCAAAATTGGATGTCAAAAAACTAAATTAAAATAGTATGTTATATAATTTTTCTCTGCATATCTCATGTTTAAATCCATTCGTAAATAATAATCAATTTTAATTCATAATTGGCAATCAACTTAATAAAAGGAAATCACTGAATGCAAATAATGAAAAAATAATTAAGGAGAATAATATCATAAATTATCTGGCAGATGTTGCTGGTTAACGTATAATGAATTATGCGATTGAAGAATCGATTAGAATTTTCATTACTTATGGACATTTGGTTATTGATACCTAAGTTGTATCAACTAATTAATTATTATAATAAGAAAAATGCTTTGGAATCATTGATTGTATATTTTTATATTATAGTAGTGGATAAGAGACATTTTGTAAAAGAAAATGAAATTATATAGTAAACAAAGAAATAATAAAATATCAAAAAAGTAAATTCCTCATTCGATATGACTACAATTTTATCATAAATTACTAATCAATAAGTTAACAAATGAATGATTCACAATTTTGTTAATTATAAAGATAAAATATAAAATCATAGATCTATTTTATAGTTTCAACAAATTATTTAATAATAAATCTTAAATAAGATTAGAAATAATTTAATATCATTTATGACCTCTGACTTTAACTACTTTTTCCATAACTAGACTAGCAAATCTTACTAACTCTTCTACATAATAAACAGAAAGATCATTAATATAATTGCATTCTAATAAGGTTTACTAAATTTCTTTGATTTTATGAAATGGCAACACTTAACCTATTGTGTTATTACTTTATCTTTAAGCACTATTATGCAAACTATTGTTGCCACTACCATGTAAACTTCCATGCACACTGTTTCTGATGCTTGACATCTTTCTTTTTAATTACGATTATCTCATTTATGATCTAGGTCTACTTTATACTTCTTGTTTAATCGAATTTCTAAATTTGTTTAATTCAAAAAACATGTCCATTATTAATTAAAATATATATATTTATTTCTGTTAAATATTAATTAATTGGAAATGTGGAAAATTAGATATATCATTATTTCTTTGCTAATTTAGGTAAATATTAATGTTCCTGAATAATTTTCATTAAAACTGCAGGTCTCTCAACACTTAATTACATAGATGAATCTTTCTTTTAATATTCATACTTTGATCTTCTTAAATAACTACTAGAATTTCTTTCATTGGAGGAGTTTTTCCTTAGAACACATACTTCATCCTGTCTTTAATTGCCATTTATAATAGGTAATTTTTAAGATTAGTGCTATTTATTAAGTGATTGGATCACATCTTTGCCATAATAATTAGAATTGATTTAAATTTGAGAATCAATTCTATCCTTAGAAACACATTTACTAGAGATTCTATTTAATAATTTACGGTTGTTATATGGGATCATATCTCTCTTGTTTTTCGTGTGTAGAATTTGATACTCGTATTCTTCGGTTGATTGGCAATACATTTTCTTAGATTGTCTATTTTGATATGGATTTATTTAAATTTTAATTGAGATTTTTTGGAATTTTCTCAATTTCTCTTTGATCTAAATGTGTCATTTATTTCATCAATTAATGTAAAGCTTCATTTGGTTAAATTAAAACGATCGAATCATTTGTATCTTAAGATCTAATCCTATTAGATTATTAATTTCTTTTAATATGATTAGAATTGTGTTAATTTAAATAATTGCTTCCAGGTAATTAACAATTTAAATTAACCAATTCAGATTTATTTACTTGCAAACCTTTTCTAGTAATAGGCCATTTTATTGTCTTCAATAAATCATTCTCGATCTCATCAGAAATCAAAGGAATCCCATATTATTTAGCTTTCTTCTAAAGAAAAGAATGTTGAAGTAGATTATCTTGACAATAATAAAAATTGAAAGATTACCACAATCAGGACGATTTGAAGGTTAGACTTACATCATACTTTTTATCAATTATACTAATTCTTATGAATAGATAATAGGAATTGGTTAATATTATCCTTTTAGAACTTATTTATATAACCCATTCATGTCCTTTGCTCTAAACGGTCTAATCATAGCATTTAAAAATGAAATACGGTTTCAAGGCACATGTCTCATAAATGACACATCCTAATGACCAGATATCTGCCTTATGATCATAAGGTTTGTCTTACCAAACCTCTGGACTAGCATAATATGGAGTACCAGTTTGGGTATATACAAGTCCATTCTTAGCCAACTTAGATACATTAAAATCTCCAAGTTTAACTTAATTATTCTCATATAAAAAGATATTAGCACATTTTAAATCTCTATGCAATATTTTTTTATGATGCAATGCTCTCAAACCTTATAACACCTATATTGCAAGTTGCCATATCTCTTACTCTGGAATCATCTATTATTTTTTAACCTATCTTTATATCTTCTATAACAAATCTCCTCCTTCAGCATACTCCATTATTATACTTTATTACAAAAAGTGCAATACCATAAATTATTATCCTCAATAAAGCATTCCTTATATGAAACTACATTATCATGATGAATTGATGCTATAAACCTAACTTCATTCAATGCATTTTGTTTCTCTCTATCTCCTATATCCATCAATTTCACCTATTCCTATAAATCACTCTAAATACTTTCTTTAAAGCATAGACTTTCCCATCTGACTTCCTCTGTACTTTGTACACAGATGAATAAGCTCCAGAACCTACAACATCAATTATTATTTATAACCTAATTTCTTATGGATCTCAAAATTTTATAGTTTACTTTCCATTATTTATTTTTAATTATATAATTCTTATAATCAAAAAGGAAATTCTTTTGTTTATTTTTTCAGCATTCTTATCTTTCTTTCTTATATCTCTTATCTTTTATTGATTTATCTACTTTCTTCTAATAATATTAAATTTGTTATTAAAATTTAATGAATTAGAAAATTGTGATGAGAAATGAAGACTAGGAAGTTGAAGTGTCTGGGACAGAATAAGTATTTCATCAATTTATGTTTAGGCAGTTGAAATATAGTAAGAGACCATTAAAGTAAATGAAGCTCATATTGATATAATTGTAAAAGAATTTGATGTTGATCGATTTTAAGCAACAAGATGGTTAAAAAAGAATGATGGAGATTTATAAAAAACTATTAAGTGGATAATTAGTAATTGAATTAATTATTTATTAATTGAGATCAATGTAATGTTAATATATATTATATCAAAAAAAAAGTAAATAATAGATTATTATCCTTCAAAAGTTTAGATATATTATTGTATATCAATATATATTACTATCGATTGTTAGTAATTAAAAATATCTATCCATTCTTAATTTATAAAATAGCACTTAATAATTTTAATGTTAGCATAGTTAAAAATAATCAAACCTTATATTCCAAAATCAACTAAGTTTAATATTGTATTTATATGTGTGAAAATAGAAGGTTTTATTATAAATCAAAAAAATAATCTTGATTTTAAAATAACAAAGAAGATTGTTAATAAAATATCATAAAAATTGTATGATCATACAAAAAATTTTTTGGTTAGGCCATTCGAGGAGAATTCTTTCATTATGATTTATTTATTTGAGAAGTTCTAAGCAAATGTAAAATCGAGGCCTCTATTTTAACCTTCAGATGTCTCTACTCTTGGTTTTTATTTTTTTTCATTTCGAGGAATTTATTATGAGAATAATTATTATTTTGTATCTTTTATGTTTTATATAACTCTTTTAGGTTTGATTTAAATATCTTCATTTTCTACTCTGTGTAATTCAATCATGGATGTTTTCCTTATTATTTATTTTTATGGTTTATTTATTGGAGATAAGTCTGGACTCTAGTTAATTTATGATGTCATAGTTGGTGTATGTATTTGATTTAATTATTATTAGGAGGGCATTTTCTGGGATTTTCGCATTTATTAATTAATTAATGATGAAAATAGTACTTCTTATTATTTGCTTGGCTTCAATAATTCATAGTTCGCAAGTACCAGAAAACTTAGAAGAAATTTAAATGAGAGTCGATAGAACAGTCAAATAAGTTGAATAATCTGCTGAAGCAATTAAAAAACGAATTCTTGAATAGGAAATTGAATCAACCCAAAAGAATCAAGAAACAGAAGATATTAATAATTAAGTTAAAGTAAATGTAGAGTAAAGTGAATATCAATAGGAAATTAATATCCAATAAGAGATTGAACAAGAAATTATTCAATCATAATAAACTAATAATGATGATGTTGTATCTTAAGTTGAAACAATCATAACTTCTGATACTAATTAGAATATCAATTAAAATAGTGAATCTTAGGAGAATCAAACTTAAGATTCTAACAAGGAAGAATAATAAGAAGATGATTTATGCATCTCTTAAAATTGTTCATAACAGAATGAATAAAATGATAATACACAAGAACAATAGAATTAATAATCAAATGAGGATTAGGAAAACAAAAATGATTAAGAATTAAATTAAATTCCATAAGATGATGGAACAATAGAAGAAGTGATATTAAATGATGAAAAGAAGGAATAAGAAATCTAAGTAGATTAAGTTAAAGTGGAATAAGAATAAGTTTAAGAATAAGTATAAGAATAAGTATAAGAATAAGTTTAAGATTAAGCTTAAGAATAAGAATAAGAATAAGAATAAGAATAAGTATAAGAATAAGCTTAAGAATAAAAATAAGAATAAGAATAAATTTAAGCTTAAGAATAACTATAAGAATAAGAATAAGAAATTTAAGTAGATTAAGTTAGAGTGGAAGAATAAGAATAAGAAATTAATAATGGTTAAGATAATGAATAAACATAAGAGTAACATTAACATCATGAACATCTACATGTAGAAAATGTTGAACATGTACATACTCATGAACATCATGATCATAGTCAACACAATACACATGAACATGTCCATAATCATGATCATACACACCATCATACACATGAACATACTCATGATCATACACATCATTATCATTATTAATATGAAGAATAAACTCATACAGGTTAAAATTTATAAAACGGATGGTAAGTTCAATTAAGTTTTGTTCCTAATTTTTGTGAGATTAAGTAAAAAATTATTAAATTTTAAAATCAATTACCAACATTATTAGGAAAATATCTTCCTAACTCAAAATAGGATTAAGTAAATTATAGTGTTTTAATTGTGTCATTCCCTTCATTACCTATATTTTTATTGCTTTTAATTGTAATAATTCAATATTATATTATAGACCGTTGGAATTAGAAATAGAGGAACAACAATTTAATATATGATAGCATTTTCATTTGGAACTATGTTAGGAGATGTATTTTTCCATATGTTACCATAAATCTTAGGAACTCATTCTCATGATCATCATAATCATGATCATCATGAAGATCATCATCATGAACATGAGCATGATAATCCTTAAATTTGCTTAATTTTAGGTGGTGTCTTATTATTTGCATTTGTTGATTTGTTTATTATTAAATTGAAGAATTTAAGAGGAAAAAGAGATGAATCTCATGATCATGAACACAATAACTCAATTATTGTATTTTTATTTGGAGACTTTCTTCACAACTTTACAGATGGTATTGCATTAGCAGCAACTTATTCTATCAGTTTAGCATCTGGAATTACAACTACAATAGCTATATTTATGCATGAAATTCCTCATGAAGTTGGTGATTTTGCATATTTATTAAAATAAGGTAAATGTGTTTTCGTTATTCTATCTACTTAAATCTTCACATCTTTAGGATGTTTAGCAGGAGGATATGTTGGTAATTTTTATTTTTAAATCTAGGATTACACTTTGCTTAGACCTTTTAATAAGAGCTATTATGTCTAACTTGTGGAAGTTTCCTCTATGTAGCATTAGTTAATATCTTACCAGAATTGAAATAATCATTCTCATATAGACCTAAATTAGAAAGATTGATTATAAATCTAATTTCTATTGCAGCTGGTTTATATTTAATGAAGTTTGTAGGATAATTAGAATGATTTGTAAAGTATAAATATTAAAAATCAAAAAATATTTCATTTCTATTTTTAGATATAATATATAATTCATTTATATTTTTTATATATAAATTAGAATACTATATGAGAATCTGTTATACTCTTTATTTTTATTGAATTTGTTAGTAAATGATGATTTCAATTTAAAAATTTATTAAAAGTGACTAATTATATTTTTAAGTCTACTTCTTGTGTATTAATTCAATTACTTAATCTTGATCTCTGAAACTATTACGATATTTTTATTTTAAGCTCTCTTAATCATATTTATTGATATTCTTTTATATTAGAAAATAATAGATATCTATAATAACTTTTTAGATTCTTTTATAAAATGTTAAACTCTATAAAGTAATAGGAGGAAAATAATAATAGCTAAGCATAGTAGTTATATATATTGTGATGTAAAATAATTGAATAAGAACAGCCAATAGAAGATTCTAATTTTTTAATTTAAAAAGTCAAATAAAAAGAGAATAAAATAAAATTATTAAAAAGAATAAAAATAGTAATTGTATTTATGTATCTTTAAATAAATCAATACTTATAAATATTAATTACAGATTAATAATTATTTTGGATTTGCTAATATTTTAAGAGATATCTTTATAAACTTGATTGGAAATATATAATAAAATTAATATTATAAAGATACTCAGAAATAGAAAATCAATTAGCAAATATTTCTTTGGTTAATTGTCAATTATAAATTCTAATTTTATTGAAGGACTATTAATATTCTATATTAAATTATAATTATAATGTAATCAATTAAGGAAAACATTGAAAGTGAACAACCTCAATCAAGTGTATTTTATTCTTTACGTCATGATCAAGAATAGAGTAATAGTTTTCACAGTTTAGAAGATGATCTTAATGAGAAAATAGATGCAACTTCAATTAATGTAGAAATGCAGATTGTGAATAATTGCTAATCATAAGATTCTCCAATCTCCACCAAAAATAGCCAAGAGACATAATAATCAATTGTTTAATTAAGGCTTTTGGGTAGAGAAGTTAAAGAGCAGAAGCCTTCCTTTAAAAAAGAAATTGTTCCTATTAATATCACATTTTTGTATTTGGAATATATAACTAATAATCCAGGAATGAAGATCTGGTTATTATCAAATATCTTATTGGATATATGTTTAAGAATACTAATATTAGTATTTTTTTGTATAGGGACTGTGTCAGAAGAAAAGTATATAGATCTTTAAAAAGATAAGAAACTTACAGCTTATTTTATAATGTTTATTTAGATACCTAGAATTTTACATTTACTTACTACATCTAAATTGATTTTTATGGATAAATACAATCTCAAAAATAGATCTTATCTTCCAATGAGTTATGTATTTAGAGCCAATTTCATTTAAGAGATTTGTCCTCGTTAAGAAGATCTCAAACCAATTAATTATAAGGACAATATTTTATCAATTAGAACAATTATGTTTATTATATTACCAATTGAATTTTAGTGGATTCCTATGTATCCTTTTAAAAATAGAAATAATTCTGAAAATACAATCATTATTAGTAGTTATATCCTAAAAAGCATAGAAGTCATGATATTTGAACCAACTCTATTAATTATAATTTCATTAAAACTAGAAAAATTGCTAACATATACTAGATTGCTATTTGGACTTATACTTCTAGATATTATAAAATTTGTAATCCTTAATTTATGTTTAATTATCTTTAGCAATGTGGGAAAAAATTCTAAAGTAAAAATATGATAATTTATTCTACTTTCTTAATTTATATTACGATATCAATCATATTTATAATATTATAATAATTAAATGGAAGTAAACTAAATAAGAAATACCATTTCATCTGAAACTGATATTCTAATCAAATCAAATGAAATGTATCTCCATTCAGATGGATTCTATCCTTAGTCTGCCAATTTAGAGTAATAAACTATTAAATGATTTAGATCCAAAATAATCCTTTTAGACACGTTATTTAATTTCTATTCTGTTTAACATGAAAATCTTGACATTTAGATATTAAAAGATGAAATCATTTAATTCAATAAAGAGATAATTATAAAGCAACAGAAATCTGGCAAATATTTATAAGCAATATATATTAAAGATAAATGGACTTTATAATTAACAGAAGAACTTGATAAAACATGCTTATTTACTATATAACCTTGTTTTAAATCATAAATTATTGTAACGTTTCATCTATCATTATTAGAATCAAAATTGCGTCACTTTATACAATGAAGTCCACATTAGTTTGTCTCCCAATAATGATGCTTAAGGGGATACATAAGATTGCTATTTGACTTGGGATTCAAAATAAATTACATTTACTAGCGAAGTTCATCTAGCCACAATTTTCATATTTGAAACAATCAATAAGGCTATAAATAAATTATGTTATGGTTCTTTAATTAAAATAAAGTTAATCGAAAAGAATGCTTATTTAGTGATGACTACTAAAAGATCTGCCTTAATATAAACAAAAAATCTAATCAATTAATCAAATGCTGATATTTAATATGATGCTTTATTCTCTAATAATTTAATAGTTACTTGGTAAGAATAAGAATAAATATCTGAATTTGATTTATGGAGAATATATCATCCTCAAAAAGCCTATTAACAAATTAATTAAAATGATTCATTTTATATATAAAATGTTGCAAGCAATTAATACATTTCATAGTCTAAAATAGTAAATAATTTTGAAGAAGCATCTCTTTTTTAATTCTAAGAAATAAATGCTAATAATCATTTTATTAGTGGATTTATTATACATTAAGATAAATATTTCAGTTCTTCACTTTTACAACAATAAAATTCTTTATTTTATTAATTAGAATACAAATAATAATACACTAAAGAAGATTAATTATTATTGGAAATATAAAGTAATACAAATCAAATCTAAATCAATTGGCTTCATAGTACAGTCAATAGAATTCAAAATGCTATCAATATTTTTACATAAAATAAAGAATTAATATAACAATCTATTAGATCTAATTAATAAATTAATTCTAAATTTGAAACTATTTATGAATTATTCAATTAACTCATTTAAGTTTTATCTGATTTGATTTGTTTTTGTTTAGAAAATGGATTTACATTAAAAGTTATTGATAGAAATTCTATCTTCAATTGCAGAAAAAATAAAAGAAATCAAGATTTACTTAAAAGATATTATATCATCTAATATTTAAATTAATTATTAGAACTTATCTCTTGGGATGATTAATTAACTTAATTATCTGATGATGTTGATTTTCTCATTTCAGAAGAATAAGAATAAAGTTTAAGATTGAGAAATTAAATTCAAAAAGTTATTAAGACTATATTTTTATTTTTCTCTTCTTTTGGTGCATATAATGAATAAAATGGTCTCTTTATATTATATAGCTATTCAAAACTTCTCTAGCTTCTTGGATGTCATATAGGAGCATTTGATTGTTTAATCTAAATATTTTCAACTAATTAAATACTTATTCCTATTGCATCATCTCTATATTTTAATTAATCAACAAATCAACTTTAAAAGAATGAAATTACACTTATAGATTTGATATTTAAAAGGGGCTAACATTTATATGAGTCTAAAATTAGATCATTTTGGTCAAATATTCCTAAATTCCTTTAAATTATTTGTTTCTAAAATGATATTCCATATAAAAATAATCAAAAAGCCATAGGTTTAAATTTAAGAGCTGATTCAATAATTTTTTCAAAACTTTTTGTACATAAAGAAGATTAATTATTTTATTTAAAGGTAGATGATATATTAATTGAATTAAATCAAATTTATTAGAGTGGTATTAAGAATAATTTAGAGATGATTTAAGATGTATAATAATGTAAAAAGTTTATTGATGAGTATTTAAATTTAGTTGGTTCTCTTTGCCAAAATAGAAATGTATTAAATATACTATATTTTTAAAATATATTCCCTAAATAACATCTCATTACATATGTAAGTAATCTTAAGAATGATGATTATCTTAGATGCAAATTGATAGCTATTTTAATTAATTTGTATATAGATTTTCATCCATTTTATAAAATCTAAATTCCAAAATTAATATTTAAAAGTTACAAATAATAAAACGATGAAAATTTTGATGAAGAATTATTATAAATAAATAAATAATAAATTAATGATGAAGATATTAAATTTATTGAAAGTATTTAAATAATAGTATAGGATTATTTAAAAAAGAATTTAATTTAATAAAATAAAGTTAATTTATGTATTAGAAATTATTAAATGTTGAATATGTATTTATAATTACTAAGTTTCAAATTGCCTACTTAAAATTAATAATTAAATAGAATTAATAATAATAATAATAATAATAATAATAATAATAATAATAATAATAATAATAATAATAATAATAGTTTTATAGATCCAAAATTTCACCTTTATTTTGAATTCTTAATCTTAGCATTTTCAATTCTTCCAGATTCAATATCTGAGAAATCTCCAAATTAAGATTTATTATAATAATTTGAATAATTTTCTGAAGATAGAAATGTTTTTAATCTTTTAACTAAGTGTTTCATTGAATTTGTATAATATTTAGCAGAGATGTTTGAAAAAGAAATCATCTAAAAATGTTTAAATAATAATAATGATTAAAATTAAAGGAATAAATTTAAATTAAATTTTAATATACCAGTATAATATGTTGATATATCTAATACTCTATTGAAGATATTATCTCATAAATAATTAGCATCTCAAATTAAAATTAAGATTTTTAATTTAATTGATAAACTTTATTAACCCAAGAAAGCTATATTATTAAGATTTGAATAATGTATGATTTTGGAAAAGTAAATTGAAATAGATATATGTAAAGAAATTGAAGAAATAAATTATAAGTTATTATCATTATTATATAATGACAATATTCAGCAATAATATTAAAATCTTATTCAAATTTTGAAGAATTTCAATTAAAAACTAGATAGCTCTGAATATTTATT